AAACTTATTAATACCTTTTAATAAAAACCTATACTTTACTATTATAACCCTAATATATTAATTTATATTAAAATAAATACCTTAAAATATATAATTAATATTATATTATCCTAGTTTATAAATAAAGCCTAATACCTTATTACTTATCTTTTATAAAAGCTTAGTAAAGTAAAAGTATATTATTAAACCCCTAATATTAAGATATTTACTATTATAAAAGTATATAAAACTTAAAAATATTATTTTATATATACCTAAAATAAAGTAGAAGTTATTACTAACTATTTAAATTATAGTTTCCTTACTAAGAAAAAAAAGCTTTTAAGTAAGTAAATATTATAGCTATAGAAGCTAGCCTTATATAACTTTAAAATTATATATAAATTAAGTAAGACTAATCTTACTAATAGACTATTTTATTAAGTAAACTTATATTAGTTATAAAATAAAAAGTAATTATCTCTTAAATATTTTATACCTTTTATAAATAAATTTTATATTAAATTATACTTAAAAAATAAAAAAATATAAAAAAAAGGACCTTACCTTAAATTAATAATATAAAATAACTACTTAAACTTAAGGTTATACCTTAACTTAACCCCTTAAGCTAGGAAGGACTTACTAAAAAATAAGCCCTACCTTTAGTATATAATCTATAGGCTAATTAGATTTACGTAAATAGTATATAAAAGCGCTATTATAATATTAAAGGAATTACCTAAAACCTTATAAAAAGTATTACTTATTATATAATAAAGAAATACTTAAGTATAAGAGTTAATAGCTAAATATAAAGCCCTAGGGAGGACTTATAGTAAATAAAGTATAAATAAGAAATATTTTTTTTATTATAAGGCTAGAATTTTTATACTTTATAATATAAGGTAAAAGATATTAACCCTATTTTATAATAATAAAACAGCTAGCTACTTAAGTATTAGCAGAAGCTATATATAAATAGCCTAGATTTATTTTTAGTAAAGTATAAAAAAAAATTTAAAAAAATATATTAATATTTATTATATATATTAAATAATAAAGCCCTATTATTATAAACCTTATAAAGAATTAGTAATATTACTTATATTAATATAACTATAAAAAAAGCTTTTAATAAACTTTATTATAAAGCTTCCTAAAATTATAAAATAAAAAAAAACCTATAACTTAATACTTATTATTATTAATAAATTTATAAAATATATATTATACCTCTTATACTTATAATAAATAATTATAAATAAATTAGCTAATAAGTTCTTTTATTATATTTTTAAGCTATATAAAATTCCTAAAGAAATAGTATTAAATTAAAAAAGCCTTTTTACTAATATATTCTAAAGGACCTTTTATTACTTACTAGATTATAAAAAAAAACTTAATACTACCTTTTACCCTTAGATAAATAGTTAAATAGAATAGTAAAATTAAAATTTTAAATATTATTTTAGGGCCTTTTATAATAAAAATTAGCTTAATTAGCTATATAAGCTCTTACTTATAGAATTTATATATAATATAGTAAAATACTTAGTAACTAAGTAAATATTAATATACTTACTACTTAGCTATAAGCCTAACCCCTTTTTTATTAATAATAATAACTTATAATATATAAATAAAAATATTATTAATTAGGTTAATAAAATAGTTAAAGATTAAGAGAATATAGCTATTATTTTATAATACTTTAGTAATTTATATTATAAATAATATAATAAGGGGAGGTAGAGGAAAATATTTAATATAAAAGATTAAGTATTAGTATTAATTAAAAACTTTAAACTTAAGAGACTAAGTTAAAAGCTAATACTTAAATATATAAAACCTTACTAAATTAATAAAGTTATTAATATAAGTAGCCTTACTTATTAACTAAGGCTTTTAACCTTAGTTAAAATATACTTAGTATTTAATATTATAACCCTTAAGGAATTTAAAAGTAAGAATAAAGTCCTTAAGAAGCTAGAGAATAACCCTTTTATACTAAAAAAAATATATAATATTAAGAAAATTATAAAATATAAGAAAAAAAAAAGGGGCTATATTTACTATATAAAATAAAAGGGCTATAGTAAAAAATATAATTCCTAGGTATTAAAAAAGGACTTTATAAATTAAAACTTTATAAAGGAATATAAAAATAATCTTTAATAAGACTTTATAAAGTCCTAAGGTATAAATAATGCCCTAGTTATATTAAAAGTAGTTTAAATAGTAAAAAGTTTAGTAGGTATAATATATAAGTATTAGCTTAAAAGTCTTATATAAATATATAAAATCTATTATAAGAAGTAAAAAAAAACTTATAAGCTCCCTAAGGTAGCTAAAATAATAAAAAGCTTAGTAAATATAATTTATAGAGGTATATAGCTAAGGCAAGGATTAACTTAAAGGGCTTACGTAAATATATAAGATTTATAGTAAAAAATAAAGTAAAAAAAAACCTATAAGGTTCCTAAAGTAGCTTAAATAATAAAAAGCTTAGTAAATATAATTTATAGATAGTAGTATAGCTAAGGTAAGGACTAGCTTAAAAGACTTACTTAAATATATAAGATTTATTATAAAAGATAAAGTAAAAAAAAACTTATAAAATCCCTAAAGCTATTAAAATAGTAAAAAGCTTAGTAAGTATAAGTTATAATAGTTAGTAATATAATATATAAGTACTAGTTTAAAGGGCTTATATAAATATATAAAACCTATTATAAAAGATAAAATAAGGAAAAACTTATAAGCTTCCTAAAGCTGCTAAAATAGTAAAAAGCTTAGTAAGTATAAGTTATAATAGTTAGTAATATAATATATAAGTACTAACTTAAAAGACTTACTTAAATATATAAAATCTATTTATAAAGCTTATTATAGTAAAAGATAAAGTAAAGAAAAAGTTATAAAAGCCCTAGAGTAGTTTAAATAATAAAAAACTTAGTAAATATAACTTATAATAATATATAATATAATATATAAGTATTAGCTTAAAGGACTTACTTAGATATATAAGATTTATTTATAAAGCCTTAGTAATAAAAGAAAGTAAAAGGAAGCTAAAGAAAACCCTAAGTAAAAATATAAATTTTATAAAAAGGGAAAACCTTATAAAAATATAAGGAATTCTTTACTTATATTTATTTACTTTTTATTACTTTTTTTTAATTTCTTTTACTTTTATTTACTTTTTTTAATTTCTTTTACTTTTTTTTAATCCCTTTTACTTTCTTTTACTAAAACTATTAATAAATACTATAATTACTAAATATTATATTAAAATACTATAAAAATAAAAAGGTTATAAAGTATACTCTATTTATTAATATTACTTATAATAGTATTATTAATAATAAAAATTACTTTAGCTTATAATATATTAGCCTAAGAATTAAGATAATCTTAAGTTATAGTAATAGAGATAATACCTTAAGCTTAGCTAAGTATAAGCTAGGATTATAAAAAAAGTTAATAAAAGGTAACTTAATAAAGTTAAAGAGAATAAACTAAAATATAAAATATAAGTATAGCCTAAAGGTTATATAATAAATTTATAATATTTAATTAAACCTAGGTACTTATAATTTTATAAGTATAATATAAATAAGGTTATTATACTACTACTATAGTATAAGTTTAATAAGTAAAAGTTACTAAAGCAGAACTTAGTCTTACCTTATTATAGGCTTTTTTATAATTTATTTAAAGTATAGTAATATAGGCCTAGGTATATATTAGTACTTATTATATAATTATTATAAAATTAGCTTATTAAATTAGGGTTATTAAACTTAATTTTATTAATTAGGTTTATATATATAGCTTTATTAGTAATTAATATAAAAATATAAATACTATTATAATTATTATAATAAAAGTATTTATTACTATTATTTAAAAAGGAGTAAGTAGGGTTTTAGTAAAATAAACTTAGGGGATAAGGCTATATACTTAATATATTATAATAATATTTTATAATATTACTTAACTTTTAATAATTATAATAATATATATAATATTTATAAATATAAGGCTTATACTAGGTTTTAGTAAAAAAAAAGAGAGCTAAAATAAGGTATAACTTATTTATTAGCCCTTAGTAGTATAATAGGGGGAGGTATAAGTATAAGTATAGCTATAGCTATAGTTATTACTATAGTACTTAATACTAGCTTTTAATAAAGTATAATTAAAAGGAATATTATAGTAGAATTATTAATAAGGGAGGAAGAATATAATTATAATAATAATAGTTAAGGATTTTATAAAAAGGAAAAGGGAAATACTCTTTTTTATAATTTAAGTATTATAACTAATAATTATAAACCTACCTTATAGGACTATTATTATAAAAGGTAAGTTACTTTATAATAAATAACTTTTATATAGCTTTTTACTTTTATTTACTTAAGAACTATGTTTTTTATTATTATAATACTAAATAAGGGTTTTTTATTTATAGTTAAATCTTACTATAGCCTATATAGTAAAAAGTTAAGGCTAATACCTTAATAGTACTTTATAAAAAAGTATAAAAAAAGATTATAAAAAACTATATAAGGGTATACTTTAAAAAAGGAAAAGCAGCTTATTAAAAGTCTAAGGAAAGAAAAAGTATAATAAAGCTATAGAGCTAGCGAATACTACTAAAGTTACTACTTAAAGGCTAGTTATAGCTAGGATTTACTATATAAAGGAGTATAAATCCCCTTGTTTTTAAAGAAGGTTAGAGATAAATATAGTTATTATATACCTCCTAGCTGCTTTATCCCTTTTTGACGACTAAAACCTCTCCTTAACTCTATTACTCTCTCGTACGCCGCTGTCTCTGACACTAAAACCGAGATGATGCGGCGCTAGATGACGGCCACGTTGACACTCTCTCGTTGTTTTGTGTCCCAAAGCGAAGTTGCATAGTAAACATGTGAATGGGAAGGCTGTGAGTTGCAAAACTTTTCCTTGGCAGTGTTGTATAGCAGATTTATATACTTTGATCCCTGAGCAGGCTACAGATATTTGTTCAAAAATTGAATCTGTGCAGTGATGTTCTCCTCGAAACTGGCGTCGAAATAGGTGGCGACATGATGGTTGTTTAGCGTGATAAATTCCTTTGGCTCCCCTGCTTGCTCAAAGACCTTCTTATGCATCTCAAGAGGCGCGGTTAGTACATCCTCCACGGCGGCTAGGTACAGCAATGGTCTCGGGCTAATTCTGCGGATAAAGTCCTGAGGCTCGACTTTGCTGATATCGTATAAACTCCGCAATGTTATCTTGTTTTCCCAAGGAGTGCCCGCGGCATCGGAACGTCGTTGGCCACCGGAGAAAAACTCATATGCAGGGGGAGAATGTAAGATGACTCTGCCACGCTCCCCAGACGCCTGCTCCAGAGAGTTATCCCAAACTTGTACATATGTTTCTTCCAAGGCTGGGGTTTGTACTCTCGCAAGACGTTCTGCTTTGAACTGTTCCATCAACTCTGGAGGGAAGTTTGCTGCATCTCGTGCTCCGGAAGGAAGAGGCATAACTAGCACAACCGCTTTGATATAGTCGTCGTTGCCTGCAGAGATCAATGCTGCGCCACCAGAATGCCCTATTCCCCACATGGCAATTCGATCTTCATCTATTCCGGGGACACTGCGGGCAAAAATTACCGCATCATGATAGTCCTCTGCTTGTTGCATTGGATTTACGGCGTTGCGCGGTTCTCCTTCGCTGGAGCCCCATCCGCGGTGATCGTAGATAAGCACGGCATAGCCTGCAGCTTGAAAGCGTATAGCGAAATCAGGCAAATAGTGTTCTTTTAGCAATGTTAACTAGTTCATAAAAGTCAGAATAACATGAATATGAGTGTTGACGGTGATTATGAGGCCTAACTCCTTGCGTCATCACCACAGTAGGGACCTTATTGTTTGTGGGATTTGGCATATACAAATCGCCTCTTAGAGTCACCCCGTCCACTGTCCGGAATTCAACCCGCTTCGAAATTGCCATTTTCTTCTAGGATCTTGGCAGAGGGTTTGGTCCTATGTCGAAGTGTTTATATTTTTATATGTTCGTGGTCGCAGCAGGCCAGTTACCAGTGGTAATTTAAGACTCTATATAACTCGACAGGAAGCTCCTAGCTTTATGGTTATAATCCATCTCTGGAGTATTCCACTATTACCAACCTGTTACGGCCGATACAGAGATGTCGCCATATCATGGGATGTTTTACAATTGAGATTTTACTCATTGCATCGCTTTTACTTTAGGCAATATGCTTAAGCATATAAAAAAGATGTCTTCAAATTTACCACTCGGGTCGCAGACGAAGGATCATGTAACGCTGATTTAAAATGCGCCAATGTTTGTCTCGTATTATCGTACCGACGGCGGCATCTTCCGCCCAATATCTAGAAAATCTGAGCCATGTCATTCAAAGCTAGAAATAGTCGGTTATTGCGTCACTGATCAATGTATCGTTCATGAAGATTTGATGCCATAGACCGTTGCAGCAGGTTTGAGTTCAATGAGAAGGACGCCATAGTACGAAAATATAGTGTGGGAGCGGGCCCGATTCCCACATCAGTCACTTGTTTCCTAATCAGCTTCTCATTCCGGCCGGAATCCCCGGGCATGCGCCAAGAGAGCTAAGAGAACTGCGGAACAGAACTTCAGTAGGTACTCCAGGACCGTTATATATGGAACATTATCATGAGTTTGCCAAGTTCTGCATCTCTGCATCGCCATATCGAACAACTACCCACAATACATATCAGTAATCACTTTGCTCTCATTCAAATATCTAATCGTAGATCTACTCCAAATAGTATATCAATTGCGAAATGTCACTTCCACAACTATCAAGAGAGTGGAACGAGGTAAGATAACACCTTTGGGATATCATGAAGCGTCCTTACTGAGAAATACCAGTTCGCCGCTACAAACCCAACTTATATTCATCATGATCAAGATTTGGAGGCCGTCCGAAGAACTATTAATCAGCAAAGTTTGGATAACATAGCTTTGCTAAAGGAGCCAGCAATGGCGGCCCTTGCTAGTGTCAAGGCTGTCGACACAACCATCACTTTACCACACGCGCCAACTCACAAATTCAGAATTCGTGTGTATTCCCCGGGGCAGACCAGTGCAAAAACACTCCCGGTAATGCTTTACTTCCACAATGGATATTGGGCTACTGGAAATGTAGACGGCGATGACCTTGGCTGCCGGGCCATGATCGGACACGGCAATGAGCTCGTCATTATTTCCTTCGAATACCGACTTGCACCGGAAAATTCATGGGACACTATTCTTTCGGATGCGGAGTATGCCCTTCAATGGGTAAACAAGGATGCATCAGCTTATGGAGGCAATGTTTCAGAGGGCTTATACATTGGTGGTGCCACCGCTGGTGCGCATTTAGCTGCTGCTACTGCTATTCGTGCGCGCGACAGACACCCTTCAATCCAGCTTGCAGGCCAGTGCTTGATTGTTCCGACGGTTCTAGTATACTCTGGCCCGCAATCTGTCCCATCAGAATGGGCTCAAAAGGTTGTCTCACATCAGGAAAACGCCGAAGCTCCCGTATTTGGAGAAAAGGATTGGCAGAAGTATCTGTCTATACTAAATGTTCCCGAACCAGAGCAAAGGAAGGGAGAGAATTTCCCTGCTTGGGCAGACCTCAAGGGACTCCCCCCAACATACCTTGCTATGGACGGACCTGACCCTATACGAGACGAAGGTTATTTGTATGAGGCCATGCTCCGCAAAGCCGGTGTCCAGACTCGAACTGATCACTACGAATTGCCCAATTGGTAAGTGATGATACAGTTTTCTTATTCAGCCTTTGAACTAACAGACACATCAGGTTCGTACAATTTCCTCAGCTACCAACGACCGCTAAGGCGGGAATGGAGCTTGCAACGGCAGTTCGGTGGTTGCTGGAAGCCAATAAGTACACTATGTAATCTGTACAAACTGTAGCATAGAGAGAAAAGCAAAGACTTGTTATAGATACATATACTTAATTACCTCACTTATTTATCGCCTCGAAGTCATCCATCTATGATTAAGCAGCCGCACGTGTTATGCATATAAAGACTGCTAAGAGTCAATCACAAGAATTCAATTCCCCATCATCTATGCTGCCTACCTGCAAGATCAATAAAAAAATATTTAGATTGAAGCCATATTTTAATTCTACACCGTGCTTAAGCGCAAAGATGAATGAGTCGCCTTGACTAGATAGCAACTTGAAATAAGCAAAGGTAAAAGCCCGATTCAAAAGTCTAAAGCTACTGTGACCATTTAGAGGAGAGCCATTGACGGGGAACACACAATATACACGAAAGTTATGAGACTCCCCAATAATCTTTAAGTCAAGGGTTTTTGGTAACAATGTTATTAATATCTAGAGCACATGAATGCATTCTAGCTTATACAATTAAACAATTGGCCGTTTGGAATGGTCCCATCGCGTAACATCGGTGTTAGTCAAACGCTGCCACTTGTGAAAGTGTCCGTTCTCTTCCACGATCGAAACTTGCATTCCCCAAGTGTCAGTCCTCTCGACAGTGGCCGAAACAGCTTTGTAAGCCTCCACAACTCTGGGCTTTGCGACATCTCGATCGTGCTCTTCACGACTCTTCCATCCGCTAATCATCACTCCTCCCTTACCCAGTGCAGCATAGCCCCTCTTGTCAGAAAGCACGGGCGGCTGAATCTCACCCCAGATGTAACCAAGGCAGGAATCTGATTTCTCAATGGCAGTGAAAAATTCATCTTGCTTCGCTCTGAATGCGTCTTCATCGATACCCCAGAAGAAGACTACATTGGTTTGTGGTGCATAGAGGATGCTTCGGTCGGGGGTGTTTGGGATAATCACGTAGAGATCGGTCTTCTCCCTATCCATGATATGCCACAACGACTCAGGAACAGCTCCACCAAGGTCGTCTCTCTTATGCACATCATGTTGACGGCGTGTTTTGTAATCTGTATTGTTAGAGCCAGGCGACCGCAGAATATTACCAGGGCTCCATACCGATAAAATGCATGGCAATGTTAGAGTCTCTATAGCTTCGGCCCCAGCAAGCTCGTACAACGCCGGGAATCGTTTCAGCTCCTGCTCTAAATGCCTCCAACCAGTCTTTTCCATCCTGAGTGGATACATCGTCGATTGTGTGATCACCGACGTCAGTGACGACAATCTCAATAGCAGGTTGACCCATTTTGTATCGAGTACTGCGGATTGGATATTGTATGTTGCTCTTTGTGTTGCCAACTAACGCTTGCTTATCTGTAAAGTTATCCCAGAGAGGACCTAAGTCTACCTATATAGTGGCAAGAGTTTCTATAAAATTTCTTTCTGACCTGCAAGAAACCTAGATCAAATGGCAGCCGGTTAAACGAGTATTACCAAAGCCATTCCTAGATCGGAATCAACTTTCCAATTGGGGAACATTCATCTGCTGTTGTACTCCAGAGTGGAGTTGAATGTGTAAGCCAACGTTTCAATCTCTAATACTACTGTTGTAGAAGTATGATCGCTTTGTCAATCATTGAGAAGACGCAGATATAGCCGCCTGTGTACTGTGAGGTGGCTGGTGGCTAATTTGTAGGCGACACCGAATGCCGCCATTAACGTTGGTACATTCCAACGACTTCAGGAGAAAGGTGTACGCTTGTATAATTACGTGGCCAGCTTGCTTGGATAAGAGCATGAAGTAACTTCATCAAGAATATAATTACTAACACCTAAAGATTATGAATGAGGCTCTCAATTTGGGTAGCAAAAAGTTCCAGTCCACCCAATGACTGATTTTGATTCCTAAACCGATATCCTTATTTGTATCAGCGCTAGGCACAACAGCCAGCGTATCCGACAGAGCACTTACACACTGCAACACTACATAGGTGTCAGACGATAGCTGTGTGCATATTAACTATTTCTTCATTGGGTTGACGGAAACCTATGTTGCTGAGCATACATAAATGCTCAAATCTGCAATTATAGAGGCAGAGATAAACAAAAGATCAGATCCGCAAACAAATAATTTCGCACAGTAGAGTAGGAAATAAGGCAACATGGTCGAGTTCAAGGTCGTGAAGGGATCTCCAGACGGTACACTCGTTGATGCAACCTCATCACGCGAGGTCAAGTCTGACGAGGTAGTCATCGATATCACACACAGCGGTGTCTGTTTCACTGACTATGTAAGCCATGTTCTTTCGTGTTTACTTGCGCCTCTAACGCGCAGCTCTGACGATGAATTGTAGCACTATCGGCAAGCAGGCATGGTTCTTGGCCATGAAGGATCTGGAATTGTAAAACAAATTGGGCCAGGAGTAACGAGATTCAAGGTGTAAGTTGCATACAATCTCTACCATTGGCAGTCACTAATTTCGTGCCGTTAAAGAGGTGACCGTGTTGGGTGGGGATACCAACACAACAGCTGCGGGCATTGCAAACAGTGTCTTACAGGCAGGGAGACTTTCTGCGCAGAACGAGAAATGTTTGGTCTTGCCAACTTCGACCAAGGCTCGTTCGCAAGTGCTGCAGTTTGGAAAGAAGATTTTATCTACAAGATACCGGACAATATTTCGTCAAGCCATGCCGGTCCCTTAATGTGTGGAGGCTCCACAGTCTTCAACGCGTTGAAGCTCAATGGTATTCGCCCTACGGATCGCGTCGGAGTCATTGGAGTGGGAGGCCTGGGTCACTTGGCCATTCAGTTTGCCTCCAAAATGGGATGTCAAGTTGTCGTCTTCTCGAGCACTGAGCAAAAGAGAGCTGAAGCGATGGCATTTGGAGCAAGCGAATTTTATACGACAAAGGGCGTCGAGAAACTGGAAATTCCTGCTCCGATTGATCACTTGCTGGTCACCAGCAACGCCCAACCAGACTGGAACCTCTTTCTACCCATTATGGCGTCAGAGGGGACAATTTACCCGATTACAGTTTCTTTTGACAACGTTTCGATACCAGCGATGGGACTCATAATGGGTGGCTTGAGACTTCAGGGAGGTATGATCGCTACACGGCAGATACATCGTGAAATGCTTGAGTTTGCTGCTCGTCATAAGATCGCCCCAGTTGTGGAAGAATTTCCACTAACTGCAGCTGGCGCTACAGAAGCATTAAAAAAGCTTCTTGATGGGCAAATGAGATATCGTGGAGTCTTGGTTGCGCAGAAATAGCGATCATCGCCATATCAACAAGTCAACGAAGGTATATCGATAATAAGCGGAGTCTAGCATAAGAAGATATGAGAATATGATACAAGTGATTGAACATATCAATGCCATGAATAGATTGTGCTGTCCATTATGACGAGTTCTCTGAAGTAGCTCAGTAACCTACAGCATGTCAGTGCATTCATTAATGATATAAACCCCGAATTCTCATTGTGTGATGCTAGGCCCCATTGGAGGCTATTCCAACAAGAAGATGATAACATGATCTCATCTATTCCACACAGGCTGAATCACAAAATAGGCTCATGCTTAAATGCGTCTGTTTCTTGTCTTTTGAGTCAATAGCACAGTCATTTTTGCAGTGATTCATCGAATTTCTGAGCAGAGAATTATGGGTAGAGAAATATTATATTATTTGCAATTGTCAGCGTGTTTCTATACTACGGCATAATTTCACAAACATCCACCAATACTGTTCATTCATTATCGTGCGTAACTGCTTATTACACCCACTTCTTCAAGAAGTCAGCCTGCTCCTTCAAATTCTCCTCGTGTGCCGGACCAACAACGGATTCCTCTAAACTACGGAAACCGCGAAACTGTTTCGGTTCAAACGCTTTCTCATAAGCTCGGACCTGGTCTTGGTAATTTGGCAGCAGCGGAGCATCCGTTGCAACCCAGTAAATCGGGCGAGGAGAAATCCGGTGTATCGATGTAGTTGGTTCAAATTTGCTCTGCCAATACAAGCTCTCAAGCGTCAGCTTGTTTTCCCATGGAGTTCCTGCTGCATCCGACAATGGCTTGAACGTTGACCATAAGAAGAATCCCTGAGGACTTCCAATGATGCTATCCAGTGGACTCTTCTCGGCCATTTCCATTGACTCCGCAAAGATGGGCACATATTTATGCTCAGTCCCAGGGTTCGCGATCCGCGATGCACGCTCCTCCCATGCGTCCTGGTACGCCGTTGGCGGAAATCTGAGCATATCAACCTCCCCAGAGAAGAATGGAGATATCACCATGACCGCCTTCGCGCGCTTGTCATACGCGCCTGTCTGTATGACGACTCCTCCGCCGTGGCCAATTCCCCAAATTGCAATTCTGTCGCCGTCGATGTCTGATCTGCCGGTCATATATGAGATGGCATCTGACAAGTCTTCGGCTTGCTGGAAGAGGTTGACATGTTGTCGGGGCAGTCCGTCGCTCGATCCCCAATGGCGGTGATCATATTGTAGCGTGGCAAACCCGGCTTTTTGGAATGTTTCCGCAGTGTCATCTGCACCGTGTTCCTTCAGAAAAGTGAGCTAGAAAGATTGTGTGTCAGTAATTTAGTCGCTTTTTTGCATACATCGGTCGATCAAAATACTCGTACCCCCGTAATCATGATAACAGCTGGTGCTTTTGATGCAACCGGCAACGTCAAGTTCCCGCGAAGGGTTGTTCCATCCTGAGTTTTAAACTCAACTCGCTGCTTCGTGAATGACATCTTTGTTATGATGCGTTTGTCTATAAATCGAGAACTCTAATACTTTATGTTTTCACTTTCTATAGGTCAGGTTTGTTTCTGGCCCTGCTTTATATATTGAACACCTCATTCACCATGTTCTGCCACTCGCATCATGCCTGTTCATAAATTTAGCTGCCAGTGCTCAAATCTGTGGCTTACAAACTTTCCTATGTGTTGGCTTACAAGAGGCAGAGTTACTAAATACGGACCAATTTGATTCCTTAATTATTTTCTCATTACGGCGGTAAAAGCATAACACCGCTGAGTTCAACTTGCCGACAAGAATATACAAATATACCAGTTCATTTCATAGCTGTACCTTTAATTATTAATCTTTTGTTAATTGACTTAGGAGTTTATTTATACCATTACTTCTAATTAACCGCGTAGCAAATATTCTCACTCAGCAGACCTCGCCACTTGGCTCCTTTTTCTTTCTAAGCACCTGCCAATCGACATCGTACCCCATCTGTCCGTATTCGCTCGGAATGCAACTGCATATACGCGCAGAGTACCAAATATCACCCAATATGGGGGCACAATTTGATGACCGATCCCTTAGCCAATGGGCATTGCTGTTTAATTGTTGATTCCTCATCTTAATACCTCATATGTAGTTGACCCACCCCATCTAAACAAGCCACGGCAAAGCAGGCATAGCCAGACTTCATTTACATCTCTGCTCTATGAGCAGTCACAACTAGCATTCGTTTCACAAGGTTTGCTCAATGCCCACCTAGTTCCTTGCGAGCTTTGCGCTACTAATGCGAGCGTTCGATGTGCCGCGGCTCTTGGCTTATGCTATTATAGTATTACTAGTAATAAGATGCCACAGCAAAATGCCCCCCTCCAACACTTGTTTACGATTTAGACAGCAAGATAGCTCATAGTAAATAGCATGCACATATATATATAAGTCCCATCTCAATTTCTAGGCGCAACTCAAATAGGCTCACTATTAAAAGAAGTGTCTCCATTTGCCATCGCACCACTAGTTCTCGAAGATACCGCACGAAAGATGCGTCTTCCCTACGTACCTAATCCGCCTACCAGTCTCGATACTGCGGGCAGAGTGGTACTTGATCAGATATTAGCTCGCCGGGGTAAATTTGGGCTACTGTCTCTCGACCGAACTCTACTTCATTCGCCTACGATAGCCGGGGGCTGGCATTCGTTCTTTGATGCCATCTATTCAGGATCGGTCTTGCGAGCTGATCTGCTAGAGCTCGCCATCTGCCGCGTTGCCCTGCTTAACCGAGCTTGGTACCAATATGACGGGCACATAGCAATGTTACATCGGTGTGAAGGATTCGACCCGGCGAAAATGAAGGTAGTGGAAACGCCGCGGCCGTCGGACAGAGGACCCCTAAGCCTCGACCAATGGGCTGTTCTCAGATATGCAGACGCCATGACAAAGGACGTTGCAATAGAGGATGAAATATTCACGGAGCTGCAAAACTCAGGTCTCAACAGCAGAGAAATTGTGGAACTTACGGTAGCTGTGGCGGCATACAATGGTGTGAGCAGATTTCTAGTCGCATTAGATGTAGGGGAGAAAAATTCCGAATCAAGATGAATTGGCCATGTGATTCAATGGGCGGCGTTTGGAACTCACAATTCTAGAAACCAAAGATTATCTCTTTTCTTGTCATGGAGAAGTATTCACCGGGAGTGGCATAGTTTCTGCCTCTTACGAAGAGGCAGGACTTTTCATCCATATTCTGTACAACGAACTTACCTTTATCCTCCCCATGAAGTCCTTGTATCAACTACAGTAAACAACCAGTGATTTCATGTCATGACTCATAATAGCTCATATGTGGCAAAATCCACCAAAAGATTACTTTAAAGGGCCCAATAAACATACAATAGGTAGTTTACTACAACATACTTATTCATAACAAAATCAAGAAGTAGTAAAATGCTCAATACACTTTTTTCCAAAGCTATCGGCCGTCATTAGTAGATTTCTCTATAAGTATAAGTCTATTGTTCGTTAAACCATCCTAATCCCATGGCTCTCTAGGTATACGCTTCAATCATGTGTGTAATAAGACGAAGTGGAAGGAATTTTCAGGTGATAGTGAATAGTCACCATCTTTCTCATGATAGTGGCAATATGATTTGGTGCCGTGGTAGGTTACTGAATAGATAGTTGTCGAACTGGAAATTTGTAAAGGACGCAAATTGATCATTGTAGGTTGGAATATCACCTTCCGTAGGTGGAGGGGGGTTGGTCAAACTATCCAGCTTCTGCCGAAGTTGGTCGCGCTCTTCTTTTACTACGTTATACGCAGCTTCAAGCTTTTCCACTTTTTCTGTAAGGGTTTGAAGCAACTTCTCCTTCCTCTCCCGATACGCTCGTTGCCTGATGCTCTATGTCAGCCTCCTGTTCCTTTTTACTTTCTTTGGGGAGACGTTAGTAGTATACTTACGCATCTCTATTCCTCTGCCGTTTTGAAAGTTTGTGTACCACTGTTAGATCAATTTGTGATGTTGGTGATGACGATGCAGGCGATTGAGATCGACTCGATGGAGCTGAGAATGGTGGGTTTAATGTGTCGATGAAAGCTTCTGACATTCCATCAATTGACTGTGGAGTGAGTGGTTTGATGGGAGAGCTGCATGTCGACGAAAGAGCAGTGAAATCTGGCTGCTGTATGGGCAAAAAGCACTGCATCACCTCCGTAAATGCTTCCTAATCACTTGTCAGCCCCGCTTCCGAAGGGGTCCTTGGGCTAAGAGAGGTTCACGTACATCATATGTCATGTCCGTTGGACCCTGCATATCATAGCTGAATTGGCTGTCGTCCCAAGAGGAGATAGAGGGGCTGGGTTCTCTCAGATCCATGTTGGAGTTAGGTATTTGGTAGGTGGAATCCTGATACTGATGGTTATCTAGTTTCTGGTATTGAAGAGCTCATGCAAAAGAAAATGCCATTGTCTTCAGTCACATATATGTTCAGCAGTTGCTGATGCTTACTCATGCATGACGTAGAAATCAACCGCCCCGGGCACATCATGGAGGGCAAGACTTGATTAGGAAACCGTTCGTTTCCGCTCCGGGCATAGCCAAGTATCAAACGTTAAAAGTCTAACTGCCCGGCGGCATAGGCAGCTGTCACTATGGAAGAGAGCTTCGAATAGTGCTTCGCAGGGTTGAATCTAATAGGACGGGAGAGTAAACCGTTGTCCGCATATTCCGATCGTTACGAGACTAAAGCATGAAGAGTCGCCCGGCATTGCTGGTGGACAAAGCTTCAACTCTCTGAATTGCGGACCTTTTACGCCAACTCTCTCATTGCCCGTCGAGTTTGAGCGCAACGTCGAAATTAGCCGACAGACACTAAGACACGGAGAACTCCGCGTTAGACCACGATTGGGGGGGAAGCTCCTGGTCAGCTCCACATGACTTGAGCTCCCGTCCCCCCCGTGTACGCCTCTCGCTCGCCTTTACCAGATTAGGGTCTTGCTCCCTACAGTAGTCAATTCACGCAATGAACTTGTCGGACGAAGCTGCGGACGAAGCTGCGGACAGAACCGCAATGTGATATCATGATCTCAAGACCTCCTTCTCACAGGCTTGATAATGCCTTTTAGCTGTGTCATGTCCAACTATGACTTCCCCACTCTACACTCAATTGACATGGAATCCTGAGTTTCACTAGAATTGCATCATTGCATGTTACGCATGGGTTGTTACTCATGTCCATTTACTGCTGGTGTTCAGAGGAAGAAAAAAAGAATGCGCCACTACCTAGGTAGGGTTGGCAAGATAGGAAACCATGCAAAACCTTTCTAAATTACCGTCTCTTCAACTAGGTATTTTAGGGTATCAAATTATAATGAGCTATACTTTGACTGTCAAACTTGATGGTGTCTACGCCTCCATAAAGCAACCCATGAAGAAACAAGCACCTGTGATGACTGACTAAAGGCCAAAAATTCTACCGCATTGCTCCCGAACTGGTGCGAAAGTTTACTAACGAACAAAGACGTGATACGAATGCTACGAGCGATTGCAGATGACATAGGGCCTGAAAAAGTATAAGTATCTCAACCCGGAGTATCTCAAGAATTCGTATCATTCAGGACATAAACATTCAAAAGATTCTCCAAGGACTTCGACTATCACATACATCAACCTCTAGCAAGACACAAGCCCAGAACGTGGAAACAACAAACACTGACATGGCAACTAACGCGATTGACTTTTATTCTCACCGTAAGTATACCACCAAGATCTGTGGATTCCCAATATAAATGTTGTGCAATAAACTGATGAATTCTCAATAAAGGCGATGGCCCCAACCCTTGGAAGAATATTATTCTTTTTGAGGAACTGGGCATTCCTTACAACGCTACATATCTCACCTTTGGAGATGCAAATGGTGGTGTTGAGCACGAAGACTTTTTAAAGAAAAATCCAGCTGGACGTGTCCCATGGATTAAGGACCCCACAACTGGCATTGAGCTGACAGAGTCCAACCTGATCAGCGAATATTTGGTCGAGCACTATGACAAGAAGGGTATATTTAGCGTGGATGGCGAGCAGAATCAGCTTCTTATCAAGCAATGGCTCGGGTTTCAGGCGGCCTCTCAGGGACCATTCTTTGCTCAGGTAAGTTTTGTCAAGAACGATGCCCTAGTTTTAGATTGACCAGTTCTAATGTTCGAATCAAACAGGGCCTGATTGCGCAACACGTCCTGAAAAATGAGGGCTCAACGAAGCACTTTCAGGCCTTGGTCAAAAGGACCATCACCACTGTTGACCGCGCCCTCCGAGACAAGGAGTACCTGGTAGGAGACAAGATTACTCTAGCCGATCTGGCATATATCCCTTGGGACCTGGCTTTGGATACCATTCTCTTGGGCGATGAAGAGTCTGCAACCGCCGAAGACCGCAAGAAGTTGTGGCCTAACTGGTTTGCATGGCACAACAGGGTCTTGCAGCGTCCTGCAGTGCAGAAGATGCTCGCTATTCAGAGGAAGGCCCAAGGTAAAGAGTAATGGTACACTGCAAGTGTACTAGGATCATAATTCGCCCTTTGTATCAACCTATAGAATTATATTTTTGCCCAATCCTCTAATGTTTAACTGCGTGACTATTTAAGTGGCACATAGCTCCCTTAGATACCAGCTGCTGAGATATTTCAGCATTGGATGCAGAGACTATGGAACTTGGGCTGGGAGCTAGAGACAACACATTAACTAGGTGGATGCGGGTCAAGCAGGATAACGAAACGATTTCCCAATTATGCCATAGAGGTCTCGTTTTAAGGCGAAGCAAGGCTGAAAAAAATACCCGTCGACGGTTGCCATCATGCGCTCTGGCGTCTCATGCACGGAAGGCTAGGCGCCAAATGTTAGACCAGACGCCCTGAAAGGCGAGTTACTGTCCCTTTTAACAATGGAAGACTTCATAGAGACTCAATGGAGTGATATGATAGATTGGATGGAATATTCGTAATGATACTATTCGCGTGCTAGTTTCGCCAATTCATGTCCTCCCTTGAATCTAACCCAAGGCTTCAACGTTCTCCTCAAGCGCCATTCTTACATATCGCATCCTTTGTAAAGACATTTCTTCTGTTTTCGAATTAAAGGACTCAAACCAACTGGCTCAATCCAATCAAACCTGGAATGCCCCAAAGAGGCACCAATATCACCGGGAAGCCTACTTTCGCATACCACGCCCCGAAAGCCACATTACCAATCGCAAAGACGGCCGCAAAAGCTTTGTCAAACGGGCTTGTGAGTCCATGGCGTGCCCATTTTACCGCCATTATCGCTATTTACGCTTGTCAGCTTTCATCTAATCTCACTCTGTCTTTTCTTTTGGCTCGCTCTGCGTTTCATTTCCTAAGTGAAAATACGGGGTGTTTCGTCTTCACTTGAAGCGGGTGACCCAATTATATAAAAAGGGTTGTTAAAGAGAAAGCGAGCTACAAGAGAAAATAATAGACTTACATATCCAGATAAAGCCTTGGTTCAGCTCCATCCAGCCGACTTTAGCAGCCACCAGGCCCGGATCTGTTGGGTTTGCTTTCCTGAGAGAGGGGAGTACGAGATCGAGGCCCATCTGCGTGTGTGCCGCCACTGTGACGGCGGACAGGCCAGCAGCAGCATAGAGGAGAAGCGATGATGATGACGATGAAACGGCCATTTTAGGAAATTCTCGGGTGTCTAGTTGGGCAAGGATGGAACACGCTGAGTTGAGCAACTGGATCGAGGTTTAAGTAAGGCACCCTTCAAAACGGGCTTACATGAGTTTCAAAAGCTGAGAAATAGAATCGACTGGACGATATCCGAGAAGTGGGGGAATTGAACTCGTTCGTCGGATTCGCATTCGCCTACCCTCGCCCGTCTCATGATTATCCTCGTTGCCGCCAATCGAATCATCTTCCAGAGTTCTGAGCTTTTGTGGAAAAGCTCCGCCAGTCTTGGCGCGTTCGGTTGCCAAATTGGGCCAAACGCTTCCCGCTCGTGATTTGTCAGGGACGTAATAAGCAGAAAGTCAGAAATCGCTTTTCTTTACATCTCCGAGCACAATCGGATACAGCCTGAGCCAAGACTGTAATTGTTCCGAAGACCGAGCTTGTTTGAGGCATGAGCGAATTCAGAAAAGCGAAAAGGTGCAGCACTTGCGCTGTGCGGAGAATCGCGGTAAGTCGAGTCGTGTCCAGCTTCTCATTGGGAGAACAATCGTGATAATGGGTAAAGTGTGATCGAAAAACGCCGTCGTGTTCCCAGTGCTTGTTGACAGGGAGATCGTGTGGCGGCTATCACCGTCAAACGATTTTCATGGAGGGAGATGTTGGACTTAAGAAGTCTCGAAGAAAGGCGAAGCATGTTCCGGCATCTCCAAGCTCTCTGAAAGGGCCCGAAAAGAAATCCAGGGCCAAGAGTCGGCAAACAGCCGGACCCGCAATCAAATTCCAAGTCGCTCAGGCCAATGAGACATTCTCGACGGAGCAGGACTATCTCATCTCGGTCATTATCGAGAGTTTCACCCCTGCTCAGGAAAGATCATTGGTCCGGACGGTAGACGGCACAGCTGCCTGTCTCGACTCTCGGGTCTGTGGCTCCTGGGTCACTCTGCTTCCAGAGATTGCAGCACGCTCTTTGTTACATCCGGCTGTTCTTCAGTTTGCGATTAAATCGCTGGGCTATTCGATCCTGAGGAAAACCCCACTGGCACTTGAGGCCTATGGCGAGACTCTTTCTCTATTAAAATCTACCCTTACTATGGCCAGAAAAGTGTCATTTGAAGAATTATTGGCCATAATATTGTGCTTGACTCTCGCTGAGGTATGGCAATTGCTTCCGATGTCAATTCAAAAGCTTAACATTTGTCTCGATAGGTCCTACTAGGCACTGAACACAATGGATGGTCAGCGCACACTCGAGGTGTTTGTAAACTAATCCAAGAGAAAGGCCCAGAAGCTTTCAAAACAGGCGTTCTGCATCAGCTTTTTGCAGGCTTCCGGATATTCATGGTGAGTCAAGGAGCACATATAAGTCAACAGCAGCATCACTGACGTCGACAGCTACTCGGAGCAATTCAACAACGAAAAGAAAGCTTCCTTGATGAGTCCGCGTGGAAATTAGAGCCTTTTTCGTCTGAGTCAAAATCTTTAATGCAGAGCCTGCTAGACGAGATTTCTGGTCTGCCATCCCTTCTGCAGCGGCTTGACATAATCTCTAAATCAGGCCAAGAGCATCAGAAGGAGGAGATTGTGGCTCTCTACAAAGATTTCGACACTCAGTTGCTTCGTCTCGAGGACTGGGAAGCAAATCTCAAAATAAGCACAAATTCTAGAGTGTTGTGGTGGCCTGTTGCATCATCTCCGGACCACGAAACTTCTTCTCCAATCTCATACGAATTTGCGAATATCCTAGTTGCCAACACAATGTCTCATTATTGGAGCTTTCTCTTAGTTATACAAATATCAACATCGGCTCTGCTAGCCCTTTCCAAGGAGAAGGGAATTGATATGGCCTGTCTTTTGAAGCAGCGGACGATCTCACCAGAAAACAGGGTAGCGCTCGCAAAAGACATCTGCCAGAGTATGCGATACCATCTCCAGGCCGAGATGGGACTATATGGGCCAGCGGCAACACTGTATCCTATCAACGTGGCGTTGCAAATCTTTAGGGAGGAAAATAAGCTGGAGGAGGTCGTATGGTGTGAGAACTTCATCTCCAAACTAGAAACGATGGGCATCCTACTCGCGTCACATATACCTTCGGTTGAAACGGGGACTAAAAACCCCACTTAAGAGCTATCTAAATTTTTATGCGTCCGGCAGTAATGATATGAACAGCCCCAAGGCCAGTTTGTCCCTATGTGTAATATAAATAAATTGTGTTCTGAGATACTCAAGCCTGTTCTTCTGTCAGTTCTTCTGTAATCCTTGTGGTGAAGAAGAGAAGAGAAAGCCATGTAAGGAACCGTGAGATTACAGCTATGTCGATTTAAGTATACTCAGCCCCTATACTCTTTTAGGAAATCCATTGCGCCAAGACTCTTGATAATGATATGCAGCGTGCGGTAAGAAGAGCTCCCTAAAGGCCGACAGACATAAACCGAGCAAGAAGACCGTATAAGAAGACGTCTTTTTCCTCCTCGAAATCCATTCTCTACTCTCAAACCTGATAAACACTTCTTACCACTCTTTCTCTCACTCTCAAACTCTTGACTCTACCCTCACAACTTACAAAATGGCATCCCAAGAAGAACAAGTTCAGGGCATGCTCCAACATGCCGAGTATGGCTCTTGACCAGTTTCTACCCTGGAAATTCCATCTAACACAATGTTTGACAGACAATGCTCATCGACTCATCAGCCCTTGCCAACTTTGGAACAATTGAGGGCCTCTCTACCACCTGGCGCAAGCGTAGTCATGGTCGGTAAGTCATTCACAACCCCTTCCCCTCTATTCCTCTACCATTAACATTCTTTCTTATACAGTAACCTGTTGCGACCCGCGCGTCCTTCCTGACCAGTTTCTTGGCGGATTTGGAATGAGTATGCTCACGTCCTTTCTTCAACCCTCAAGCGACAGACTGCTAACTCTTCCCCTTTAGAAGTCAGCGAGGTTAGAAACGCCGGTGGGCGTGCAAGCGAAGCCCTAAGATCCATCATCTGCGTCGACCATGTGCTTGGCGTTGGCGCAGTCATTGTCATCCACCACACCGGTGAAGCTTCCTGTTCCCAACGCTTGATGGTAGCAAGTACTAATGGAACTATTACTAGATTGCGGACTTACTCACCTCCGGAACGACTTCCTTCACAAGTCCTTGACAGAAAAGGCACCTAATAATGCTGCTGAGATTGCCAAGATGGACTTTTTAGAGATTCTCGAGTAAGTAGGCTTATTCTTGATTAATCTGGTATGGAGCTTGATGCTGATGTGCTGCCGTTTTAGTTTGAAAGCAAGTGTCATTGAAGACATGAAGATTCTCAAGGACAGCCCTTATCTAAAGAAGGACTTGAAGGTCTACGGATACGTATATGACATCAAGACTGGAGAGCTTCAAGACGTCAAGGAGTAGTAATGCTTGATTGCTGGCTCAGATATGTTGAAGAGTTGCCTATCCTACATTTTGAAGTAGACCATCGTCGATGTTCAATAAGAGGAAATGGGGTGGAAATGTCATACGCATGGATTAGACAATAGGCACTTTCTAATGTCAACCAACAAATGACCTAGCACCTTGCAATACAACGTGTACTTGTCAAATATTGCGCAATCGTAACTGTGGAATTGTATACTCATAAATATTTGATGAAATATCTAAACACTCATTTTCGAAGCACCCGCTTCCACATGTACATGGCTGTTGTTGGTATCGCTGCTCATAATCAATCATTCACGCTAAATCGAAATCTTACATGCCGCCCCCGGTTACTGGAATTGCGAATTGTATCCAAGCCAGTCCGACTCTGGATCTGGCATTCTCATGGATTCCCCCGTCAGCCCATTAACGCCCTGGGTTTGCCATGCTTGACCGTTCGTTGATCTTGGCTCCAGCAACTTGGGGTAGTTGAAGAAGTCGAAGATGTCAATGTTGTCGAGCTCGCTTAGGGAAGTGACTTGAGTTGAGGTCGGCTCAGAGCCCGATAGTCTCATGGAGGATGTCAGAGTTGCCAGATCGTGTGCGCTCCTAATGACGGCTGTAAGTATGCGAGAATGTAATCAAAGAACGGCGCAGTCAACTATACAACTTACCTGCGCATGGCTGTAAAGTTCATATCTCCCTGCCGCCCTCTCTGGACAGCTCGAGACAAGATTTTGGCATAGTTGTTGGCGACCTCCCAGTACTGTCCAATGTGACCTAGAATCTCGATGAAAAACTCGATCTTGGGGTCGACAGGGCAGCCTATTGAGGCCGCATGGACCAGCAACAACCTAGCGGCAACCCAGAGACCAAAGACGAATGGAGGGCCGAGGTTGTCTAACCCACTGGCTTCGAAAACGTCTCGCGCAATATCTGCCAAGCTTTGGACCGCAGACAAGCATCGTTGCATTGCGTAATACGACGGGACGAAGAGATGCGACCTGACTGTCGGATATGCCGCGGACGAATGCAGCCGTACAACGGACGTGACGTAGGCGCCATGCAACATGAACCAGTTTGCTACTCTGCTACCAGGATCAGAGTGGCAGAGGGCTGAGATTTTGCTATAGTCGCTTGGCAAACTCCTTAGCCAACCATCCAATGCGCCGTCTAATGAGCGGTAGTTGTTTCGCCAACTGGCCACGTCGGCAGAAGATGTAATATCGACGGGCGCCTTGAGGAAGTTGTGCACTTTGCTGAGTATCCTCAAGATCTCACAGTGGTAGGAGAAGCTGCCCAGATTCTCTGGTTTATTAGTTGCAAACCCAGTAGTGCCATACGGCTGAGACAACGAAATCCAGGACCGTGTCTCGACCGGAACGTCTCTTGAAAAGAGATCGTAAGAGCATGGAAGGACCCTCTGCATCTTTCTGTCCTCCAGCATGAAGTCAAACGTCGTCGTCGCTATTGTAGCGTAACGATCAAGCAGATATACCATCCAACATATTCGCCGGCGGCCTTCATCCTCGATCCACGATTCTGGCCGCCCGGCAGTAACTCTCCGTATCGACCCCGTGTGTGGTAGGTTGTCAGACTGGACTGACAGATAGACGCTGCTTTCTTCACAAAGCCCGAGTTGCTTGACGTTTTGTGCAAGAAGAGAGAGAAGATTCCACCCTTTGGGTCCATTTGAGGTGCCCAGCTCGTCCAAGCTGAGAATGACCAGAGCCCTGAGTGCCGCAACACTCACATTTTCCATTGCATAGTTCTGGACGATTTGTCTCGAAACAGCATGGTGATGGGCCCTCATTTCAGGAGTCAGGCGGGGATCCTTTAAAAACCTCAATGTAGTTGCCACGATGGCGTGCAGAAGCACACGATCTGGCTCGTTTAGAGAAGTCGACCCGAAAAAGATGCCAAATATGGTTTTTCGTTCCAAGATTGGGCACCAGGGGTTGCAATGTTTGAAGTAGAGGTCGACGATGTTGTAGACGATGTCGTGAGGGGGAAAGTCATTAACGGCGGCGGAGATGGATGAGGGGCCCCTCCGAGGCGCTGAATAGCTGGAAGATGGATAAGTTTGAGCATACGAGTTATTTACCGCGGATGAGGTTGAGCTAGTATGAGATGGAATCCGGCCGTCTTGGTGAACGTCGCTGTTACTTGCATCCCACGCAGGGGCTACAAGACTCGGCCTTGCTGTGGGAGTGCTCCTTGCAGCTCCCACATGGCCGAGCCTCGAGCCATCCTGATGATAGGGGTCGGCCGGAGATGGCAAGTGGTTGCTGAGGGCTGGCGACAGCCCCTGAGCCTGCGAAACGGCCAGGTGGTCGTTGGCAATGTGCTCTTCGACGCGCCGCCCCAGGCTCTGCAGCAAGGCATCGATGCGGTTGACCTTGGCCTCGAGCTCCAGGCTGAATCCTATGCGGCTGCCGGGCTTCTGCCTCTCTAGATAGACGCAGGTCCGGTTATGCCGCGCGCACCATGAGCATGCTGGCTCGGCGCGGTCACACTTGACCTTGCGCGCCTTGCAGAGCTCGCATCTGGGAGGGTCAGCGTGGCTGGTCTGATACGGCGACTCGAGTTGTCACATTCACCCATTCTGGGAAGTCTGAGGTGACATGACCTGTGACATGACTTGGGCATGATAGGATATGCAACGATAAGGACAGGCAGAGAGAGGGGAGAGGGGACGAAAAGAGGAGATGAGATGAGAATGAGATGAGGCAAAGAGGGGAGAGAGAGAGAGTAGCACAACATACGACGTCTTCTGATACTTGGTCCGCTTGCGCTTCTTGCCCGACGCGCCCGTCGATCCGTTCTGCGACGACGAGGCAACGGCAGGCGTGGTTTCGTCGGCGCTGGAGCCGTCATCGTGGCTCGATACCGAGTTTGCGTCCTCCTCGGGCATTGATAGCGAGACTGGTGGAGGCTCTTCTACGGTGCGTGATGCATGGCCGGGATCGGGATCGGGGTGATTCCACATCTGATATGATATGGATATGGCTGTGCAAGTCCAAGTCCAAGTCCAAGCTCCTCCTTATCGCGCATGCAGAGAGACGACGCCTTTGGGGAGACTCTGCGGGCGATATCTCGTCATTCCTTCTTGGTGGTTTGCCGTGCTGTGCTGTGCTGTGCTCTGCAAGGCTTGGCTTCGGAGGTGGAGGTGGGGATTCAATATCGTATCGTATCGTCTGGCTGGGTTTTTTCCCTTAGTAACAGCACGCTCTCGGCTGTGCTTACGGGACCCCTAGTGGCTTTGTATCTCCCAGTTACAGGCATGGCGGGCTGCTAGCACCTCCGTTACAGGCCCTTTACAGGCATGGGCTGGCGCTATCGGCGTTACTATTGGCCTGCCGCGCTGAAGATGCTCCAGGCTGCCAGTCGAGTAAAAGCAAGCTACGCATTTCTGCAATCTCCATCTCGTTGGTCGTCCCTTTTAGCCATCAACCCATCATCCCATCCATTACTCGAGCATTACTCGTACTCGAGCTTGCGCGCAGGGCAGGGCATTTTTTGAAACATGGACGATGCAGGTCATTGATTGGGGCTTCTTCTGCTCGATCCTTGGCCTGCCCGTTTTGGGGAAGTCATTTGAGAATCCATATGCCGCGGCTATGCTAGACTCCGCAAGTCGAGTCCATGATGAGCGTCGGTCTCTCAAACGGCCGGTACGCGCCACTCTCCGGCCTGTTTTTTTTTTCTACTGTGCCACCCATCTAATCAATCCGACTCCATCAGTGTTCGGAGCGTCGTCGAATCTCAATTGCCTCCCGTCATGCTGGATGGGGCCAAATGCCGAGTTCGAGCCCCGAGCAAGACGTCACGAGCCACCCGTCCAGCATTCTCGAGGCATGATTGCACACACCCTCTCGCTCGTTGCCTCCGCATGTTCCCCAACCCAGCAGCGAGCTTCGGGGTCGTTTCCGGGGATTCCCTCAGTTCCCAAGATCTTATTTGCGCCTAGCGCTGGCGGCGTTAAAAGCCCTTGTCAGCGGGACGCGTGTGAGGGCTACCACCATGAGGGCTTCGCTAGCCGTTCTCGTATCACTCCTCCGTTGGAGCAGCTCGGAAACTAGGAAGATGGGAAAATGCCCTGTGAAGAATCGAGGCCTAGTCAATTGAGAATCTTCACCCCCCGCCCGCTTCGGGGAGAATTGTCGACAGGGCATCTTGTGCGCTGCTGATGCCGCGTCTATACTCGAATACACGTAACTCCATGAAGCCATCACCGTCGTCTAGAAGAATGCGGAGACATGGAGTTTCTCCCAGCGGCCCCAATCGTTCCATTCATTAGCGGCCGAGGTGTCAAAACGGCCTCTAAACACAAACTCTACTCCGGACAAGGAAAATGATCATCCGATATTACTTGGTGGGCAACGAAAAACCCTCCTTGAGCGTGACCAATTGGTACGGAATTAGCGCCCACAGCTTCCGTTATGCAAAGCCCAGCAAAACGGAGCTCCATATCAGTGATCCTTCTTCGACGATCCGCTCGCATCTCCACACTCGGTCTTGCAAAGCCGAGCCGCTGCATGTGCTGATCAACGAGGCCGGTAAATAGAACCCGAAGCCTTATGAAGTGGGATCTCGACGGAGGGCCAGGGTCCGAGACACGCCTCGGTGAGCGTCCGGCCGTGCATGCATCCACGGATCTGACTTCAACGTTCTCGGCCAACTCTAACTGGCACACGTGCAAGCCACGCGAGGTTGCGATAATTGGCAATATTTCCAAGCCACGGCGCTTGCAGTCAGACGTCAGATTGAAGGCTGTGACATGGGTGACATGGGGTGTCATCCATGCCATGTCACCGCACCGGCCTTCAGCTTTCGGACCTTTCGAGGCGCAATGCAATGTACGATACATGTCATGATCGTGATAGGGGCATGTATGTATGCATGCGTGCTTGCTTGCTCACACCACTTGCCCAAGTCAGTACGTCTCGGCCGATACAGTCCGCACGCTCAATCCATAGAAAATGACAGCAAATCGCTCGTGGTATTACTTATTGCTAGACTAACAGGATTTCATTACATGCTCTCTTTCTCGTAAAGTACTTCATTACTCGTCGTTCAACCAGCCCTTGCTCATCTGAACCGCCTTCTCCCATCGAGCAAACCGCTTGCTCGCCTCCTTCTCTGAGATCTGAGGCTTGAAAAAGGTGCGGCCCTCGTTGTTTACGTTCTCAAGGTCCTCGAAGCTGTTCCAAACACCCATTGCCAACCCAGCCGCGATGGCGGCACCCAGCGCCGTGGTTTCGCGCATTCCTGGTCTGTTGACGGTGATACCAGTGAAATCAGATTGAGTCTGTGATTGAGAATTGTCAGTTATACGTTACTTAAGTGTTTTGTCTTCTCCTGTTGCATACGTACCTGCATGATCAGATCTGAGTTGCACATGCCACCATCGACGAGGAGTTCAGTCAGCGGCTTTCCGCTGTCCTTCTCCATGGCTCGGAGGATGGCTTGTGTCTGGAAGCATGTGGCCTCGAGCGTGGCGCGAGCAATGTGGCCACGCTGAGTGTAGGCGGTGATGCCAAAGATGGTTCCTCGGGCATCGTCGATCCAGTAAGGGGCAAAGAGACCGCTGAAAGCAGTGACGAAAGTGCAGCCTCCATTGTCCTCGACCTCTTCGGCAAGAGCACTAAGCTTGGATGACGACTCGATGAAGCCAAAGTTGTCAACCAAGAATTTGACACTGGATCCAGCCACGGCAATACTACCCTCGAGGGCATACATTCTCTTACCCTCGCCAAAATCAAAGGCAACCGTGGTCAGGAGACCGTGTGTCGAAATGACGGGCTTGGGGCCTACGTTGTACAGCAAGAAACAACCAGTGCCATAAGTGTTCTTGGCGAGACCGGCGGTAAAACCCTTCTGGCCAACCAATGCGGCGGACTGATCGCCCAAGCATCCGGTGATTTTAGTGCCCTTGAGCGAAGTGGTTGCCAGAGAGCCGTACGCCTCAGTGTCTGAGGAGGGCACAATCTTGGGAAGGTTGACCTTGCTTCGGTCAATGCGGAACCAGTCAATGAGATCAGCGTCGTAGTCAAGCGACTCGAGGTTCATAAACATGGTCCGTGAGGCGTTGGAAGGATCTGTGACGTGGATGTTGCGGGCTGTTGCACCGTTCAGCTTATACGTCAACCAGGAGTCGACTGTGCCAAACGCAAGAGTTCCACGCTCATATGCCTCCTTGACCTCGGTCACATTCTCAAGGAGCCACAACAGCTTGCTAACGGAAGGGTACGTTGATAGGGGGAGACCACATCGGCTGATGAGCTCGCTGGCTCCAATACGGTGCTTCAGCTTGCGAACCAGCTCCTGGGATCGAGCATCGGTCCAGACAATGGCATTGTGCAGCGCCTTGCCCGTCGTCTTGTCCCAGACGACGGTGGTCTCACGCTGGTTAGTGATGCCAACGGCAACAATCTGTTCGCGGTTGTGACCCTGCTTCTCAAACTCAACAACAGCGCCATCCACGCAAGTCTCTACAGACGAAACAAGCTCTTCGGGGTCATGCTCATGCCATCTGCGCAATTGATAAGTTTTTCTTCTTTCATCTCTTGTTTGTCTCACATTACGTATCTACTTACCCAGGATGAGGATAGTGCTGCTGAAACTCTAACTGATGCGTGGCAACCACCTCGCCCCTCTGGTTGAAGATGAGGAACCGAGAGCTTGTGGTGCCCTGGTCTATGGCTCCAACGAAGGTGGGTCGGATCATGGCTTTGGACTTTCTGAATCTCTTGCTCTTGAATCTTTTGGGAAGAAGGGATGAGAGCATTCACAAGATGTTGGTCCTGTTGTACGAAACAAGGCCGAGGGGAGGCAAGTATATTGGGTGGCGAGAAAGAGAAGAAGAGGGAGGGCAAAGGGGGGGAGGATGAGAGGGCAGAAACGACGTCTTAATATACAGACAACAACAACAGAGCAGAGCTGGCAATGCGATTCACGACTGACGAAGACAGACAGGACGAGGGCTGACGGGAAATTAGGAGGTATAATAATGTTTGGAAGAGAGAGAGAGAGGCCAGATGAGTTGGTGTGGTACGAGGTGTGGCTTGGTAGGGAGCGGCCTTTATGTCTGGGCCTGTTTCCCCCAGCAGAACGACTAGCAAGCCGATAGTGGCCTTCAGCTGCTAGGCTCGCCTCCCGGAACAATTCTTTCCAGGAGGGAGATTCGAGGCTCCAGGCCAGGGACAGTTTGCTTTAGGCAGTGTTTAGCACTGGCTTCAGCACTAAGGAGCCGCGTGGGAGCTACCCCTCAGTTCCCCGCCATCCACAGAGTCTAATTGCAATCCCCAGATTGTGGAGGCGCAAACCGGTCACGAGGGAGGAGAAAACGGCTGGACAAGAACGGAGCCGAGACCGAGCGCCAAAAACCAGCACCACAGCAGACCGAACTCGCTCGAACTGGTGGAGGCAACGTCAAGTTGACGCACAGCATTTTGGCCCTGCGCAGTGCTACCTGACTAGCTGGCTAACGGCACGGCCTGCACTGTCTGGGTCGCATTACGACAACGACTTCACAAGGACACAAGGGACCAACTACGTCTGCGACTGCTACTGCTACTGCCACTACTTACTGTACGGGACGCTTCCCCATGGGCAGAAGCTTGTGCTTGGGCTTGGGCTTGCCTCGGCTCAGCTCAGCTAATGTGGCTAGCTAGTCGCGAAGCTGACTGTGGAATGTTACTCTACCTTACCTTGCCTTGCCTTGCTCTTCTTCCCGCTCCAGCAACAACCACATCGCGGCAAGGATCCCCGCGTGATTCCCGCATGCGCCTCCGTTTCGGGCATCAGCATCCCGAGCTCGAATCCGGGGCCCCGAACAAAGACACCGCAAGCCCACAACGCCGACAGGCCAACTCGGGCTCTGCCGCCCGACCTAATAGGCTGTCCCTCCGCCAGCCCAAGAGAGAGAGAAGCCCTATGGCTAGCCTCAGTTACCTGCTCGCCTAAGCTCTGGAACGCAGCTAGAAGCCGCTACGCTCGGGAAACCCCAACCATCGTCGCGATCTTGATCGGAAAGAATAGCGAGGGTGGGGGCTGCAGCTTGGGATTGCAATACCGAATGTGGCTGAGGCCAGTCCTGCAAGGTCTCACACACTTGACACACCATCCCAGCCAGGATTCGGATAAGCGCCCGTGTTCTGGAGCAGCACACCTTTTTTGACTAATGGAATAGTACTCGTAATAAACGGTACTGCGTCGGGGGAATGAAGAGTCCAAGACAGACGCGGCTCCCCCGGTGAAGCGGTCATGGAGGCCTAGTCGTATGCCCTAAGACTAATCCTCGCACTTGTGCACACACAAGGCATGCCGTCTGGTCTAATCGGGATATGCACGCCGCTCCATCCATGCATCAAGCATGGCTAGGGCCGGCTTCATGTATGTACAGGTATGTACAGGGCCCCAGAAGCTTAATGTTGGTTGTGCTGATCTGTTGTTTGTGAGGGTTTGGGTTCCATCATTGTGCGTCGTCGTGCTTTTGTCCAACGGAGCTTCCAAGTGTGGACTTGTGCCATGTCTTCTTTTCTTCTTCTTCCCTTTTTTGTTTTTGTTTTGTATTCTTCCCCCTTTTCTTCTTTTTCTCGCACCGCCGGATTCTCCTTTCCTGACAGCACAAGCTGCTGCTGTCTCACTCCGCCTCTTTGCACGCTAAGAAGAATTTTGCATCCGGCCTGGTCCGGCGCGTGGATAGCCAGGACACGCCGGCGGTCCCCAAAATCCCACGAGAGTCTCACAAGGCCCTTAGCCCCGTCAGTATGGCATGTCCCCCATCTGGACAGGGAGGGGGGGGGTATGGAAATGCGATGCCATGCCCTCCATCCCCCTCCCGCAGGCAAAGACACTCCATCCCCAATTACTCGTAGAACCTCGGTCACACCTGTTTTTGCCCGCCAGACTTGCGTCCTTCTTCTACTACTGCTCGTGCTAGTAGTAATGGAGTGCAGCAGTAGTAGCAATGGCACAATTAGAGTGACCTGATTCGGTGTAAGCCTCCGAGTGTGCGCGTGTGTTGAAGCGTAATAAACCCCGGCACTGCGCATCCAAAATCCCGAGCCCCAGGTCGTTATTCGGTAAACCCATCATTCGATTTCATCTTCCCCTCACCCGTCCGGCCAACGTTATTCGCAGCCGTGGCATCACCTGAGCCCGAGTTATTGGTTTCCTAGCGCTTTGATTCATTTCCCGTCTGCTCCTAGTCCTTGAAGCTTCCCATCTCATCCCCGTATTCGAGGCGGGGAAGAACGTGTTCTCGATTCTCCAGATCCACACGCAGAGAAAGAGCCCTTGCTTGACCAGATCTGTTTTCAAATCTCTTACCGTCTTGTCAGCTGTGGGAATCTTGTCATCTTCGGCCACCCCCTCATCCCGTTTGCGTCTGCACCACCGACTGACCCGATCTTTTCTGCTGCTCCCATCCCAGCCAGCCTCAATTGCTGTAGGGCGTGGGTAAGCCCCACGAGAGAGACGTAATAGCTCTTCGGTTTCCCTAACCGCGGGTGAAGTTGATAGTAGTATCGCGAGCCTGCACCCAAGGGGGTTAAAAAAACTATAATTTGACAACACCTCCCACCCTCCTTCTTTTGAAACGCTACCCCAATTCTTTCTGCCAATTCTCATCGTACACACACATATTCGAAGTACAGCATCCAAATGTCACATTCTGAAGAAGCATCTGAATTCTCCGTTGACAAGTCCGCCCCTCTTCCTCTACACAACCCCAACATGGGCCAGTCCAGTCTTGACGATGCCCCAAGGATGGAGTTGCTGTCGCCTCCTCTAGAGGAAGAGCAGTTGGCCTGGACCAAGATTCGCAGCCAATGCCAGGATTTCTTCTCAGAATTCCTGGGAACCATGACCCTGATCCTCTTTGGTGACGGCGTCGTCGCACAGGTCGTCTTGAGCGGTGGTACCAAGGGTGACTATCAGAGCATCTCCTGGGGCTGGGGGTAAGTTGCACCGCGATGCAGAAAAAAAAAACCTTGGTGAGAGCCCCATCACTAACAGTAACAAACAGAATCGCCGTCATGCTCGGCGTCTATGTTGGCGGCAAATCCGGCGGTCACCTCAACCCAGCGGTGACCTTTGCCAACTGTCTGTACCGCGGCCACCCTTGGCGAAAGCTCCCCGTCTACGCCCTTGCTCAGCTCCTGGGAGCCATGACGGGTGCTGCCATTGTGTATGCCAACTACAAGTCAGCCTTCGATGCCTTTGAGGGAGGCGCTGGCATCCGAACCGTGACCGGCCCTACCGCCACCGCGGGCGTCTTTTGCACGTATCCAGCCCCGTTCATGACTCGGACGGGCATGTTCTTCTCCGAGTTCATCGCCAGCAGCATCCTCATGTTCGTCATCTTCGCCCTGGCCGATCCCAACAACATTGGAGCTGGAAACCTGATGCCGCTTTGCCTCTTCTTCCTCATCTTCGGCATTGGCGCTTGCTTCGGCTGGGAGACTGGTTATGCCATCAACCTTGCTCGTGATTTCGGCCCCCGATTGGTTTCGTTCATGATTGGATATGGCCATGAGGTGTGGTCCGCGGGCGGTTACTACTTCTGGGTATGCCACATCCCTATTTCTTTTGCTTTTTGTCTCCCCTGGGGTCCTCTTTTTGACGGTGATCATGCATAATTCGTTGTTGCTAACCCCGTACTGCAGATTCCCATGGTTGCCCCATTCTGCGGCTGCGCCTTTGGCGGATTCCTATACGACGTCTTCATCTTTACCGGAAACAGCCCCATCAACACCCCGATGCTGGGTCTTCAACGCCTGATGCGACCCCGCAAGAGCGTGTGGTCCAACACCCACCCGTCAGCCATTGAGACAAAGGTCTAAGGACTGCTGCATATCAATGCCGGACACGTAATGAAAAACAGAACGAGATGGTCTCGGGAAATAATACAGAAAAAGGTAGTATGTGATGAAATGGGGGTAATGAAAAGAATGTGGGCCAATTGTACCAAACAAAAAAAGGGAGAAAACGCATGATGGGTTGTGCTTGATGAACTGGTTCTTGGGCTCGGATGTATGTGTTATGAAAACACGGAGTATGGTTGGTTGTACAAGTATAGTTGATAATTTAGCGAGCGATAATAGTATAATGATTCACCCTCAAAAGGAGCAACCACCGGACGTTGGGCATCAACAAACCCTTGCGATGGGCTCTTTGCCGATTGTCCTGAGATGGGGGAAACAGCGGTGCAAGGATACGTGTATGATGGGACCCTGAAAACGGGGGTTCATCGTCCAGCTGGACCGGCCTGTTGGAATTGACAACGCGAGGCGGTCGAGATGGCAAGATGAAATGTGATGAAATGTGATAAAAGGGGTCGTTGTCGGAGATTTTCGTGATAGACCCGATGAATCTGAGGCGCTGGATGGAGATGGCAGACTGGAACGCTGAAGTACTTTGACTGTTACCCTACAAGTTCAAGAGGCAGAACTACTGCAGCTCATGACATAGAGGTTGAGTGAGAACAGTGTAGCCCCAATATCTGCAGGGACCGTTCTTCAATCCCCCCAGAAACACTGCATATCACCACTTCAACCAACCGGCAACAACCCGAACACTCTAGCACTACTGGAGCGGCGGATTATCTTCATCATCACCGCCTTACAGCATGCCCGCACACCGATGAGGCTCATCGCCACCATCGCGAGATTCTGACAGGACATCCCCGGCAGCTACCGGGCCCAAGCGTCGCTAAGCGATATCTTCCAGCCATTTTGCCAAGCCCTTTTTTATCTTTTGTCGTCTCCTTTGGCCCTTGCGGTGTGAGATCCGCCGCCCGCTCATAAGAAAATAAAAGAAAAGGGCTGCACGGGCTTCCCCGAGCCTGGCATGGGGACGGGGGAGCAAGGGATAGAAACAACAGAGACAACGACCCAGAGGCTGCAGACGCAGACATGGTCACCTGGCCTCGTGCTTCTCTGTGTGGAGCTGGCGCGGCAAGGCAGGTAGGATTCCTCTCTTTTTTTCTCGCCTCTGGAGGTGGCCTCTGCGTGATACGCGGCATCGAGTATGCACACTCCCTGTGTCCGTGCCCGGGATGGAAGGGACTGGGGGGGATGCAGACTGAGAAAACGTGAGGTTGAGCAAAACGGTTTGCCACTCCCGTGTAAAACCCGGCGTGAGGTTGACGGGATTGGGCGGAAACGGTTTAGTAATGGGTGCTGGCGAGGCCGATGTTGAAGGGATTTGATCCTTTCGTCTTCAAGATGACGTGCGATGATGATGATGATGAGGCGGCAGCTTGAGAGCTGAGAATGAGAGATCCTGCATGCTGATGATTGGCATCCTGGAGAGCTGAATAGCAGTTGATATCGTCAAGTCAGCAGCTGAGTGCAGCTGGATTCGGGTCGTATAAAGCAGAGCTGAAAGAGTGTCCGTTTTGGCTTGGCTCGGTTGGTGTTTGAACGGATAAAAAGAACTAGACCCCTGGCTAATCTCGAGGGAACTTATCCGGTGCATAACGTGGCTGGCTGACAAACTGTGGCTGGTGGAGCATCCCTGTGCTGTGGCTGACTGTGGCTGACTGTGGCTGCGGGGCCGACAAACCCAAATGACATGTGATCAGAGCAATGACTGAGGCAACGTAGCCCAATTTTTTTTTCTTTCAACGAGAGTGTCTCTGCCTTTTAGCTTATCGCAAAGGATTTTGCTTCAATGGCCAAGAATGCGTCTCAGCAGTTGGTGGGTTAAAAGCAACTATCAGGATCACGAGACGGAATGTTTGCATTCCGCCAATGGCGAGTCCAATCGACCGAGAGCAACATCGCGACTTTTCTGCATTCGTGATCGCGACAGCTTCAAGAGTGTCCAGCTCGGGGATTCTCTACCGAAAGTTTCCCGAACCCCTCAGACATTGAGGCCCTTGTCGCCAGCCACAGCCGAACGGCTCATCTCCATCCATTCACATGCCTAGCTTCGACGCGTGGCTTGTCGTCTTCGGCTTGCCCAAGCCCGAAGTTGCCCCCAAATCGAGACGTCAGGCCCACTCCGAGCGTTTGTTTGGAGAAGAGACCCGCGCAAGTCCGTATCCCGGAGGACGGCCTGCGGCGTGATTGGTCTGGAGGAGGCAATTCGAGCCTTTCAGGGAATCCGGCCCAGACCCTTCCGCACCGGCTGTACCGGGATCGCAGCCCCAAAGCGAGGGCTCAGTCTCTGCTTCGGGAGTCCTTTTCCAGCGTGACATCACTGGGGATGGAGGCTGAGGGTTACCTTGACGGTCAAGGCTCCAGAAGAAGAGTTTTGAACAGGCAAATCATAAGAGCTTCGACGACGACAAGCCCCTGGTTCGCAGCGTACGAGGACAAACCACAACAAGCCACCACGTGAAGAATTGCATTGCATGGCCAGTCGTGCAGAAAAACTAGACCAAGCCACAGGTTCAATAACATCTTGGTCAACAACTCTCCCACCCTTCTGCTCTTTGCTCCTCACTCGCCCCTTTGGTTCCACGAATCAGTGCCGCCAAGGCCCCCAACCTGATCGTCATATCGAGCGGAATCTCGTTTGACCCACGTCGGTCGGCCATCATCCACCGAGCTCAGTCTCAGTTGACTATTGAAAGTCACCTCATCTGACGCAAAACCTATCCTCTGATTAAATTTTTGGGCTGTTTCTCGCCTTTTCATTCCACTTCTGTCTTCCCGTGGACATCTTTTCTTTTCCCCTTTGCTCCTCTGTCGTGCAGATCGTCGCTCCTCTCCTGTCCTTTAAGAGGCGCTCGCCCCCACGACAAATCTCCTACCCAAAGCCTCATCAATCACTCTACTTCACGCAAGCCCTGCCATTGGAGGAATCCCTGCCCATCAGCATTCTCCTGTGCCCCTCCTCCTCCAACCGCTTACGAACTTGACCATGTCTCGAGGCTTCTCAAGCCTTCGACGGCCTCTGCTAGGCTTGGGCGTCGTCGCCACCGCTGGAAGCGCCGTTGTCTATTCTCGCACCAGGATATCTCACTCTACACACAAGCCGATCGCCGAAGTCAAGCGAGATAGCAATGGCCGCATCGTTCCGCCATCGTTCCCCGCCATTTCCTCCCGGCTGGAGCAGCTGGAGCAGCTGAAGCGACACAGCAAAGCAAACGAGAATCTTGAAGAGTACGACCTCCTCATTATCGGAGCTGGCGCGACCGGCGCCGGCATTGCACTCGACGCCGTGACTCGAGGCCTCAAAGTGGCCATCGTGGATCGCGATGACTTCTCCGCGGGCACCAGCTCCAAAAGCACCAAGCTGGTCCACGGCGGCGTGCGCTATCTCGAAAAGGCCGTCATGAACCTGGACTACTCCCAGCTGCAGCTGGTCATGGAGGCGCTGCACGAGCGCAAGACGTTCCTCAAAATCTCGCCTCACCTCTCCAACTCTCTTCCCATTCTGCTGCCCCTCAAGAACTGGTTCCAGGCCCCCTACATGTGGATTGGCACAAAGGCCTACGACTTGCTGGCCGGCTCACAGGGCATCGAGGGCTCGTACTTTATGAGCAAAAGCAAGGCCATCGCCAACTTCCCTCTGCTGCGCTCAGACGACATGGTTGGTGCCTTGATTTACTACGATGGCCAGCACAACGACTCCCGAATGAACGTTTCTCTTGCGCTTACTGCCCAGCTTTACGGCGCCACCGTCCTGAACCACGTCGAGGTCACCGGCCTAGACAAGGACCAGAACGGAAGAATCCGCGGCGCGACCCTTCGCGATGTTCTGGGTAACGGCGACAAAGAGTTTACCGTGCGGGCCAAGGGCGTCATCAACGCCACCGGACCTTTTACAGACGCCGTCGAGCGCATGGACGACCCATCGCGCATGACTCTTGTAGCTCCCGCTTCCGGCGCCCACGTTATGCTTCCCGGCAGCGTGTGCCCCAACGGCATGGGCATGCTCGAGGCGGCAACTTCCGATGGACGAGTCGTCTTCGTGCTGCCCTGGCAGGGATACACCGTCGCCGGAACCACAGACAATGCTTGCGAGATCGAGAAGGAGCCGGTGGCGCAGAAGGAAGATGTGGACTTTATCCTGTCGGAAGTCAACAAGCTTCTGCGGCCCGAGGCGAAGCTTGGCCAATCTGATATCCTGGCCACTTGGTCTGGTGAGCATCAACCCCCCTACTGTGTTCATATAAAGAAAGACCTCGACTAATAAGTATATATAGGCATCCGACCTCTTGTTCGAGACCCCAAAGCCAAGAACACCGAATCCCTCGTACGAAGCCATCTCGTCACCGTTTCGCCGTCCGGTCTTTTGACCTGCGCTGGTGGCAAATGGACCACGTACCGCCAAATGGCCGAGGACGCAGTCGATGAGGCTGTCAAGACCTTTAGCCTTGCTCCAGCCGCCGTTGCCCTCCCCGATATCAGCGGTGCTGGTCTCCCTGGTGTGCAAACCACCGGCCGCTGCATCACCAAAGATGTTCCGCTCATCGGAGCCCATGGTTACTCTACGTCTCTTGCCTCTCAGCTCATGGAGGCTCACCATGTCGATGCCGATGTTGCCCACCACCTGGCCCACAACTATGGCGACCGCGCCTGGGCCGTCCTATCATCTTCCAACTCTGCCGCCACCCGTCTGATTCCCACGCTTCCCTTTATTGAAGCCGAAATCCGCCATGGTGTCAGGTCCGAAGCCGCCTGCACTGCCGCCGACCTCATCTCCCGCCGAACTCGCCTTGCCTTCCTCGACATTGAAAACGCACTGCGCGCACTGCCTCGTGTTATCGACGTCATGGGTGAGGAGCTCAGGTGGTCCGGCGATCGAAAGCAGCATGAATGGAAGGAGGCCGTCTCATTCTTCAAGTCAATGGGTCTGTCGCAGGACAAGCTCAACATCACCCGCAAAGAGGTCGAAGCCCTCCCTGCTCTTCCCATCAGGAAGCCCGAGGTGGCTGCTGCGCCAAAGGGGGTGGAATTGGGCAAGCTCGAAGCCAACGGTGTCCTGGCATAGGCTTTCGTGCATGAGATGGGCCTATGGAATCTGCTGACCGGCAACATCCATGAGTTCGGCAGGCAGATTCTTGTACATAGTATTTCTGCATGGAACGGGGTTATTTCATTGTTTTTTTTTCTTTTGTCTTTTGGAGCATGATACCTGGGATATCTAACTGGAAAGAAAGAGTGCGAAGATGCATTACATTGGGTAGAAGCAGCGGTTGGGATTTTAAGATATGGGAACCATAGACAGCTTGTCTTTTTTTTTCTTTAGTTCTTGTTTTTCTTTCTTATACATCAGTCATTAGGTATATCGATACTACTACTATACATGACCACATTCACATACTGCTTGTTGGATTTCCCTCGGTGACACTTACTATGTGAAGACGTTGAGATACTGCATTGACTCTTTCTACGTGGGCATTGAAACATGATTGGTTCAACAGGCTCAAATTTACCAAAGTAGCGACGTGGCCAAACTCTACTGATGCTTTCAGTGGCAGACGGAAGGCCTGATGCCGGCTAACAAGATCCATTGTAGAAAGTGAAGAGAAGGGGCAACACGCAGGTGCATGGCCTCGTAGAAGGAAGCAAGCAACTATCCAGGCAGTCGCATAGATGCTCTATATTTATATCTCGGCCACGGTCTCAACCTGGGTCTTTTCACTCTCCACCAACATCCGCTCTTGGAGCATCTGGCTTTTGGATCATCACTCTTTTCTGACATAGTTTACTCGCCATCAGATTCACCACCAGTCACATCTGCTCTGGCACAACGGCAAAGATGGCCTGGTTCAAGAATCTCGCACTCTTCTTTTTCGCCGTCACGCCATACGTCACAGCCCGCCCTTTGAAAACCGCCAGAGGATGCTCGGCTCTGGACGTGGAAGCCCTTGAGCCTGAGGCAAAGTACATTGTGACTCTCCACAGCAACATTTCGCCCTCCGAGTTCCAGTCACACATCGCCAAAATCAATGTCACCTATCATCGCAACTCTCTGAACGATGAGCAGAACAGGCCCTCTGGTGTCGAGAGGACATATGCCATTGGTGGCTACCGGGCATATTCCGGAGTCTTCGATAAAGACACCATCGCCGTGCTCTGGAACGATACAGATGTGAGTATGGCCACTCGTGCCGATGAATCTGTCTATTCTAACCCAAATGGATGTCTTCAGGTAGAAGAAATCGAGCGGGACGAGTACTTTACTGTCCAGCGGAAGCTTGTGACGCAGCGTCATGCTCCCTGGGGCCTTGCGGCTTTGTCTAGCAAGAAGCCCGGTGCCAAGTCGTACCGCTACGACAAGAGCGCGGGCAATGGCACGTTTGCGTACGTGGTTGATTCTGGCATCTTCACCAAGCACGAGGAATTCGGTGGGCGAGCAACGGTTGGGTACAGCGTAGATCCCGGTGTATTGTCGGACAATAGCGGACATGGAACTCATGTTTCTGGAATCATCGCGGGCAAGACCTTTGGTGTGGTCAAGCAGGCGGAACTCATCGGCGTCAAGGTGTTATTGGATGACAGCGGCTACATTTCGGACGTACTTGATGGTTTCCAATGGGCGGTCCAAGACATTGTCCTCAAGAACCGCCAAAGCCGTTCGGTCATCAACCTGTCTGTTGGTGAGTGACGCCGATGAGAAGGGACGCGGACGGAATCAACTGACACTGAGACAGGAGGTCCCCATTCTTTCGCCATGAATCAGGCCGTCGATGCGGCCTTTGATTTGGGAGTCCTCAGCGTCGTCGCAGCTGGAAACGAAGCAAGCCCAGCCCGATTCACGTCGCCTGCATCAGCACGAAGCGCCTTGACTGTGGGTGCCATCGACATCGAGTGGAATTCGTGCGACTTTTCCAATTTCGGCCCCGAAGTCAACATCCAAGCCCCTGGTTTGGACGTAGAGTCAGCCTTCATTGCCACAGTCAACGCAACCGCCACTTTGAGTGGCACTTCAATGGCGGCTCCCCATGTTGCTGGACTTGCCTTGTATCTGGCTGCCTTGGAAAAGACGGTAGACGCAAAGCAGCTGAGAGACAGGATCCTGGAACTGGCCCGCGGTGGCCAAGTGAAGGACCTGGCGAGCGAAACTCCCAACTTGATTGCTCACAACGGTGCTCGCTAGATACCTTTGCTGTTCTCTCCTCATACCTCATTGCCTTTTTTTTTCTTTATGACTCTTTTAGTGTAGCATCGGTATAGCATTATTGGTATAGTATTAATACAGAGTTTGGGAAGAGGTGATGGCGTTTACTCTTGAATCGAGTGATCCGCATACGTACAAACAACAAATAGTAGGGATTATGGTCGATATGCAAATGGCCACACAGCATAGAAAGACGGCTGTTTGCACTTGGCCTCGACACGAGTGACTTTTGCCTGGGCTTGATTTTTCTTCAAACCGTTCGCTTCAATGTGGGACCGCACACTATCAAAATTGCATCGGTTGTGATTTTTCAACATTTCTCAGTTCGTCAACTTTTTTTGCCTTGTTTACCTATCGTAATGCCAGAGGTGCAAGGCCAGCATATTCCCCCGTTGAAGCTCGAAACTTTTCGTACAATCTACTAGCTTTCTCAGTCTTGGAAGAACCATTATTTGCTAACGAGGTTGGTCGTGGAGCACATTATATTGTGAAGGACGATATCCTAATTGCTAACTATATTCATTATAGTCGTACTTTTTGAGATTTGGCTGAGGAGTAACAGAGACTGCTTCGACAGGAAAAATCAATGGATTCAGAAGGAAAAGCCATGGAAATTCGGCGTCGCCGTCGCTGGCACAGTCGCCGTAGTCGAAGCAGGTCCAACCGTTCCTCAACGACACCATCCCGAGCCAGATCTAGAGCGGTGAATTCGACGAACCCGGCGAGAAGAATGGTGATTCCCCCCTACAGCGGATACAACATTGTCGACTGGCACATCTACAGTCGGCTCACAACCGTGTGGAAGGCCGAGTCGCGGTCGTGGTCGGAGGGCGAGCGTCGAGACTTTGTCGGGTGGGTTTCCAGGGCACGCGTGACGGAAAGAGAAAACTCGATGGCGGACCATCCGCTGGCGGAGCACATGCGGTGCAACGCGCCGAGCTGGGGGCATTTCGTCATCTTGAGGGTCATGTTTGGGGCGTCGCAGTGCGCGAGGCAGAGCTGGTGGGGGGAGTTCAAGGGGAGGTATGGGCGGGCTGGGGAGGATGCGGCGCCGGGGGTTGTGCCGGGGGACGTGGACGAGGTTTTGAGGACGAATCGGATGAGGGCGCCTGCTATGATGAAGATTCCGACGATGGAGGTTGGGGGTTATGTGGAGGGGGATTGTGGGTGTTTGTGGTGTGTGAAGAAGGCGGCGGACAAGGCGAGTCGGGGGAGGACGTCGTCTTCGAGGACGGCGAGGAGGGAGGAGGGGGAGGGGGGGAAGTGTCCGAGGGGGGAGAGTATATTTACGGGGGAGGGGGAGACGTGGGAGGATCGAGAGCGGAGATGTGAGCGGGAGCAAGGGGTTGAGCCGGAAGAAGCACAGGATGGTGATGAGGATGATGAGGGTGATGATGGTGGTGATGATGGTGAGAGCGAGGAAAAGGATGAGGTTACTGAGGTTGTTACGCAGGCGACTTCTTTCAGGGAGAGAGGGACTCTTGAGTGTACGGATAGGGCGGAGAGGAGTTTGATGGAGGTTGTGGTTGAGCAGGGGAGCATGATTGAGACGCTGGTGAGGTTGGTGGAAAGGCAGCATAAGAGGATGGGGAGGTTGGAGAGGAGGGTGGATAGGGGGCAGAGGAGGAGCGAGGGTAATGTTTAATGGTGGGATGTGCAGAGGGTTATGAGGGAGTAAGTATGTAGGAGAGAGGCTGAGATTTGTGGTCGTGATGTTAATTTTGGCGTTGGTGTATGAGGCTGAATGGCTTGTCTTGAGGTTATTATTGAGTAGGTGGTTTTAATGTTTGATATTTAATTTTTATGTTTTTGTTTCTTTATTTGAGGTAGAATTTATTTGTTTATTGTAGTGTTGTGTATTGTAGTGTTGTGATGAATTATTTGCTTGTTCTGGTGGTTTATAGGGTAGCTCTGGATATTCGCAGCTTTGTGTGGTGGTGAGCGAGTCTTGTGGTTGATGTGCATGCTAAAATATATGTAGGCTTAGGTTGAGCTACACAGGTTTACCAAGAAGTAACAATTGAAGTTTCCATTATATTTATTTAATGTGAATTCGTTATGAGTACACTAATGGTGATATTTACTATTCACTTGATTCATTTCCATGGCAAGAGCAATGACTAATACACAGCCTTCTCTTTGCAAAGGAATTAAATTGATGCTACCAACTCCAACTTCCTGTGCCGAGTACTCGTACCAACAGAAACACGCCAGTGTCACACAAGTCGTCATGCCTCTGATACAAAGTGGCACGATGAATCACCTCAGGCCGTGCTGCCCAATCAGAGCAGACGCGGGCGGGGGAATTGCATGTGAAGTGATCAAGGCGGACACGTAAGAGCAGGTACCACGGAGGTACCGCGACTTTTGCCAGGCGGGGCAGCCGAGGTACCTTTGAGGTTTGCGCTTGTTTGCGTGATGGTGTTGACCTACTATACGAGTATATTAGGTACTAAGGGAAGAAGAGGAGATTAGCCGTTTGTGTAGCTAGACAATTCACGAATCGAGCCTGGAATTGGTCAAAGTTGGTGAGAGTTGACGCTGTTACATTATGAAAACCTGTTCCTTGGTTGTTATCTTGAGTACGGAGTACGTGTAGTTACACGGCCGTATGTGCGTAAAATCCTTTGTACAAGAGCTGGGCGAGGATTTGCTTGTTCCAGCGGCGGGGTTGCGGGGACTTTTGATGTTGCAATTGAATGCTTGATTCGACGTGGTTTGATTTGGGCGCCCGTGAATCGTGGAACCAGGTTGATACCCGATCGGCCCTTAAGGCAGAGGGCAAGGTCCAGCTCCATTGAAACTCAATCCTTGATTCCTCCTAGCGCTCGATACGGGTTAAAAGCTCAGCAGGGATGATTGGATTGATGGACGACAAGCTGGGATTCGATTTGATCCATGGATGGCATCTCATCTCCAGAGCCTCAGCGAGGAGCAGCGCTAAACCTCCGGCGCCCGCGGCCGCTGTGGCGGTTGTCCATCCGGGTGGTTGAAGAGCACATGGAGGGCTGTTTAATGCACTGTAGCACTGAAAGCTGTCTGTACCTATTAAAGCACGGAAGGGAGCTGTATTACATGTATTCATTGATCAATCTATCAGAGGTATTGATTGGAGGTGCCAATGTCCCCCCTTCGTACCGGTACCAGCGCACGCAACACACACCACTCGCATCACCCGATAACAATCGATTGAATGTACATGTACATGCGCCTCTGCATGATAAAGCTGCAAATATCCCGCATGCGAGTTATGTACACGTAGACTCTCGTCTCGTCTTGCCTCGACTTGACTCATCTCACCTTCGCCCTCTCAGCTTCGCTTCGCTTCTCCTTCACCCCTCTCCAGCAGCTGAGCTCCTTCGTTTTGCTCGCCATGGGTTCCGAGGACGACAGTCAGCAGAAGCCCGTCATCATCGTCGGCGGCGGCCTGGCCGGCCTCGTCGCTGCCTTTGAGCTGGCCGAGCGCAAAGTGCCGTCGCTCATCATCGACCAGGAGAACGAGAGCAGCCTGGGAGGACAGGCCTTTTGGTCCCTGGGCGGCCTGTTCCTGGTCAACTCGTACTACCAGCGCCGCATGGGCATCAAGGACTCGCGGGAGCTGGCCATGCGCGACTGGCTGGGGTCTGCCGGCTTCGACCGTGACGAGGACTACTGGCCGCGGCAGTGGGCAAAGGCCTTTGTGGACTTTGCCGCCGACGAGTTTGAGGACTATGTGAGGGCCCGCGGGCTGGGATTCCTCTTCAACGTGGGCTGGGCCGAGCGCGGCGATGGAAGGGCTGACGGCCATGGAAACTCGGTGCCGCGCTTCCACATTGCCTGGGGAGCTGGGCCGGAGGTTGTTCGCATCTTTGCGGATCCCGTCAAGAAGGCGGCGGAGGAGGGGCTGGTGCAGTTCAAGTTCCGGCATCAGGTTGACGAGCTCATCGTCGACGGCACAGGACGAGCTGTCGGCGTCAAGGGCAGCGTTCTGGAGGAGGATGACCAGGCCAGAGGCGTCAAGACGTCACGGACTGTTGTCGACTCCTTCGAGCTCTACGGCTCCGCCATCATCGTCACCTCGGGTGGCATTGGCGGCGACATTGAGGCCGTGAAGCGGAACTGGCCCGTGGAAAGACTGGGACCAAAGGTGCCCGATTACTTGGTCATCGGCGTGCCCGCCCACGTCGACGGCCGCATGCTTCACATCTCGGAGAGCGCCGGTGCCAACATTGTCAACCGTGACCGCATGTGGCACTACACCGAGGGTCTGCAGAACTGGGATCCCATCTGGCCCGAGCACGGCATCCGCATCCTGCCGGCCCCTTCGTCTCTCTGGCTGGACGCTTCTGGCAAACGCTTCCCCCCGTATCTGTTCCCCGGATCCGATACTCTCAGCACGCTCAAGGCCATCTGCGCAACGGGCTACGACTACAGCTGGTTCATCCTTGACCAGTCCATCATTGCGCGTGAATTCGCCCTCTCTGGCTCGGAGCAGAACCCTGATCTGACGGCCAAGAGCATCTGGGAGGTGTTCAAGAACAGAATCTTTAGCAAGAAGGGAACAATGAATGTGCAATTGTTCCAGGAAAACGGCAAGGATTTCATTGTCCGGGATACCCTCAAGGAGCTGGTGGCCGGCATGAACGAGCTGGCCAAGGAGCGCAACGGCCCCGTCCTGGAATACGAAAAGGTCAAGGAGGTTGTCGACGCTCGTGACGACCAGTTCAACAACACCTACTCAAAAGACGCCCAGGCCATGCTCATCCACAATGCGAGAACGTACTGGCCAGACAAGCGCAGCCGTGTTGCGGCGCCTCACCGCCTGCAAGACCCTGCCCACGGCCCATTGATTGCAGTTCGACTCAACCTGCTCAGCCGCAAGACGCTCGGCGGCATCGAGACTAACCTCAACAGCAACGTCATGAGGAAAGACATGACGCCGTTCCCGGGGCTCTACGCCGCCGGTGAAGTGGCGGGATTCGGCGGCGGAGGCGTTCACGGCTACAACGCGCTCGAGGGAACGTTCTTGGGAGGCTGCATCTTTTCCGGCCGCACAGCCGGGCGAGCTGTAGCAGACGAGTTGTCCGAGGTCGTCAAGGAGTGAAAAGAAAAACCCCCTCATACAACTTCTTAATGCGAGGAACGGAATAAAGGGCATGCGGTGGGAGTTGGCATTCTTGATTTAGTGTTAAGGCTATTGGTTATCCTATTGATGCAATGACATTCATGTGTAAACGACACGACGTGCGTATTTTTCCTATTTGACGGTCCATCATCTTTCCACTGCCCTAGTTTCGAGAAAGAGGCGTCGTTTTATGTAGCTAGTTTGGAGACTTGGAGTCGTCAAGGAACCGGGGTGTTGCCATGTGAGGCTAAATAGCTGATTGGTGGAACATTTCGCAACCAGCTTGTTCGGAAGAATCCCCCGAACCCCCAAATCTGGGTTTTGCCGTGATGCAACTCTGCATCGTTCATCTTTGTGGGCAACTTGAATTGGAATGGGGTGATTTGCGGACAAGTATCCGTCCGTTCATGGATGGCTTGACAGAATCTGGGGTTTAAAACCTGGGGAAAAGACAGGGGTGGGCCTCCTTTTGTCTATAAGATGAAGCTGACGGCCGTTCATCTTGGCAATCAAGCTCAAGTTGGAAGGACAGCAAGACTTCAACTGACTGGTTCTGACATCAATTGACATCGCCGCGATGCACTTCTCTTCCCTTTCTCTTGCTCTGCTCTCTGCCGCGGGCGTGGCCAACGCCTTGCCTGGCTTTGGAAGCCTCTGGCCCTGGTCGTCAAAGATCCCCAACACCGTCGTCATTGATGGCTACCGCCTCGTTGAAGCAAAGCTGCTTCTCACCTTGGGCGATGGCGCCCTCAAGAAGGAGTTGAAGCATCTCACTGCCCAGGCGGATAGCTGGCTCGGCCAAGGCCCCTGGACCGTCACCGCAAAGACGAAAGCTCCCCCCAACGGCACGATCCACGACTACTCGTCTCAGGCGCCGTACTGGTGGCCCAGCCCCAACTCGCCAGATGGATGTCCCTACATCCAAAAGGACGGCGTTCGCAATCCCGAGGTCGACCAGTACCAGGACCGCGTGTCGGTCGGCATGATGTTCAACTCGACCTATGTCTTGTCGCTGGCCTGGTACTACACCGGCAACCCAAAGTACTCCAAGCACGCGGCCGACATCCTCCGCACCTGGTTCCTCGAGCCCAAGACGGCCATGAGCCCCAACCTGGACCACGCCCAGATCATCCCCTGCGCCAACTCGGGCCGGTCCATCGGCATCATCGACTTCAGCCAGGAGTACACAAACGTCATCGACGCCGTCGCCATCCTCAACACGGGCGCCCCCGGCTGGACCAAGGCCGACGGCAAGGCCTTTGTCGCCTGGAACAAGCAGTTCCTGGCGTGGCTCGCCGACTCGCCCTTTGGCGTCGAGGAGGCCGCCGCCAAGAACAACCACGGCACCTACGCCAACATGCAGATCGCCGCCCTCGCCCTCTTCACGGGAAACGTCTCGCTGGCCGTCCAGCGCGCGCAGCTCGCAAAGACCTTCATCGACAGCCAAATCACCGCCAACGGGTCGCAGCCGCAGGAGCTCAGCCGCACGCGCAGCTTCCACTACTCCAACTTTGACCTGACGGCGCACCTCCGCTACGCGCTCATCGCCCGCAAGGTCGGCGTCGACTTGTTCAAGTACAAGGGGCCGCAGGGCCAGACGCTGTTCAAGGCCGTCGAGTTTCTTGTCCCTGCGGCGTCGGGCGGCGCGGGCAAGTGGACGTATCCCGAGCTGGCCTTTACGCAGTACGCGGCGACGGACAACGTCAGGGCGGCGGCGCAGGAGGGCGACTGGGCTGCTGCCAAGGTCGTGTCGAAGCTGGTTGCGCCGCCTGGAGGGGATATTTTCGGGCTGAGGCCGGCGCCGCAGCAGTTGGATAGCATTGCGACGGTTGGATAAGAGAGAGATGGTGAATTTAGCCCCTTGTCTTACACCCCAAGACAAGGGAGTCTCTCTTATCTTGTTATTGGGCTTTATATAGATGCCATGTGGAAGGACGGGTGGCTGGAATGAATAATGCTATCTTTACTTTCTTCGTCTAATTCTACCATTTACTACCTGTCATATCCATCTTTAGATACTAACTAGTCGATGCTATATATTCTCAGACATTCAATAACTCACACTGTAAGCCTGCCAGTATCCCAGCCCCCCAGTCAAAGAAGCATAGCTCGACGATCCTCCGCCGCCAATAGACAGATACCTTTGCGTGCCCTTGACATTGAACGCATATCCGCTCCCGCTCTTGTAGCTCACAGTAAAGACAACCGCATTCCGGGCATCATTGCAGAGAACTCCCGACTCGCAAATATACTTGCTGCCCGCATCGTCAGAAAGCGTGAAATCCGCTCCTCCAATCTCCACCGCGTGCGCAATCCAGCGCTGAGACGGCGTGTCGTGTCGTGCGGTGGCTTGGCTGACAGTAAGAGCGCCATCATACGTCGTCATTTGCGCGAGAGCGAAGCCGTTTGCTTCGAGGACAATGTGGCGGCCCTCGGTGAGCATCCCGCGCATGGGCTTGAACCCCTGCTCGACTTGGCTGGGCATGTCTGCAATCACGCCGTCGCCGGTATACGGAACGGGAGGCTGGACGTCCGAGTACAGAGCCTGGCAGTACGACGAACCGTCGTAGACGCCGTTGGAATCGGTGTGCGGCGTCTGCGGCGGGGGAATCGCCGGGATGGAGTAATCGGGGTTGTCAAAGTCAAAGGCGTCGACGAGGTCGGACATGTGATCGCGGCGCCAGCCGACCATCTGGTCCGTGGTGACGTTGCGTCCCTTTGCGGCCTGCCACTTCTCAACAAAGAGGATCTGCGAGTTGTGGTCGCTGTGAGCGGTGAAGACGCCGCCCTTGCGCGTCCACGGGGAGACGATGTAAAAGGGCAGCCGGAAGCCGGGGCCGAGAAACGTGTAGCCGACTTGGCCGTACGGGTCCTGGATCCATTCGCCAGACGTGCCGGCCGGGGAGTGGTAGGGGCTGACGTGGTCGAACCAGCCGCCGGTTTCGTCGTAGGAGAAGATGAGGGCTGTTTTGTTGTACTTGGGTGAGTTGAGCACGGCCTGGGCGACCTGGTATTGCAGCCAGGCGCCGTCGTGAGGCGCATAAGGGGGATGTTCGGAGAGTTCCATGGGGCCGACAATGTACGAGACTTCGGGGAGAGTGCCGTTGGCAGCTTGAGCGTAGAAGGTGTCGAGGGAGAGGCCCTTCATGCCTCTGTTGTACAGGCTGGAACCGGGTTCGGCATCCTGGAATTGCTGAAATCTGGCATACGAGTTGTCGTCGAAATTGTCCTCGTCCTGGAAGACTTGCCAATCAACACCGGCGTCTTCGTAGTACTCGCCAACAGTCTTCCACTTGAGGGGGTAGCAGTTGAAGCCGCCAGTTTCACAGCCCGGGGTGATGTTGTTGTCGATGTACGGGTTGCCGCCTTGGTCTGGGGTCTGAGGGCCACCGGGGGCGTTGACACTGCCGGAGAGCCATGTCACTCTGTTGGGATTGGTGGCAGCAACAACACCTTCCTGGGGTTCTTTGTTAGTCTTGTTTCGTCTAGTCTTCTGAATGGTAAACCTGCCTGGTACATGTCACCAACGACAAAGTTCTCGGCCAAGGCGAACTGAATAGGGATATCCTGACGCTTGTAGAATCCAATGCTGTAAGGGCTGTTACCCACGGCCCAATGGTCGTTGCTCCCGCCATTCCAGGCGGCATGGTTATCCTGCCAGCTGTTGGTCCCCGTAATCATGCATTGGGTTGATTCGGTCCAGTTGCCGCCGAGATAGTTGATGTAAAAGGGCGTCACGAAGTCGGTCTCGTTGGTCAATTGGGGATTGGTCAATTGCTTCCAGACCGGCACGCCGTCGTTCATCTGCAGATTCGCATCGCCGAAACCTCGAACACCCGCCATGGTGCCGAAGTAGTGGTCAAACGCCCGGTTTTCTAAACTCCAGTGTTAACAAGCTGGCTCAAGGACATTTTCAGACACATGTGATTGTTACATACCCTGCATGAAGAGGACGACATGGTCAATATCCTTCAAGCTTCCAGCTCGGACAAGACCAATGATGCAAAACAGGCTTGCCGACGCCGGCCCTAAGCTCCTGAGGAGAGGCATTCTTGGTGATTGGGAAAATGAAGTGAGGAAGAATGCTAGGACACAAGCAATTCTATCCACCTCGTTTCACTGCAGAGGACGGCGAACTACTTAAGCAAACATGCTCAAATAAGCATCACGGACCTTTTAAACTGAACAATCCATGAATTGAGCCTCTGTGCGCATACAATCAGAGACCGCCCCCCCCCTCATGTCTAACCCCGACAACGTGATTTGTCCATCGCGGTGTAGCATTGCGGCCTCAAGCGCGGCAGTCCGTGCCGAGCATAAGCTGTTGCTGCTGCTCTTGCGGTTAAAGAGCAATGGATAAAGGGAAAACGCGAGGTTACATCTTCTCTCAACTAGGAAAATACAAGGTCGTAGGAGTAAGTGGCCCCCGGTACTGACAGGGATCTTTTTAGCATAGGGCTTTGTATCTTTTATTGTTGTTATTATTGTATTGCTTGGCGCCTGTGATTACTAGAGGATCTGGCTGCTGGGTGTAGTAAGGGGCGTGCTAGGCTACCTAGCTAGTAGAAAAGAGTACTAAATACATAGAAGATTCCTCCTTTATTATATAACAGACTATAGTAATAATTAGACTGTTCTATACCCCTGTTTTCCCATGTCTTTATAGGCCTACAAGGTAAGCGTATATTACGTAAGACGCGCGTCTTCTATAGGGGCATAAAAAGGAACCTAGGTTACTAACCACCTTCCTACCCTTTTTACCTATTCAGTATATACACGAAAACAGCTTTGTATTGCGCCTCTGCCTTATTAGTAAGGTATTGTAAGGGAGTGGCCCAGAGGGCTCCAGCGATAGCTAGCGCTGCTATTCCCTAGCAGGGTTACCGCTTGCTAATTGCATTATAAACAGCAAAAGAATACAAATTAAACTTGCTGACAGCTGTAAGTTCAACTAGCTATATAAGGCTTGTAGGGCTCCCTTGTGGGAATAAGGATCGGGGACAGCCCGAATCCATAATATACTCTATTACCTCGCAAAATTCGCCTGTGGGTACTCTCCATAAATTAGCCGTGCTGCAAGGTAATCTTGCAGCAGCGTTATACTATATTCAGTAAGATTAACTGCTTAATAAGTGTATGCTTAACCTATAATAGCATAGTCTAATAGATCTTTCTTCCTAAACTACTATAGTCTGGTCCTAAAATTAGACTGTGGGTTTAAAATCTGAAGAGACCCATAGGCGAATTTGGCGAGGTAATACAGTACCTCACTTCCCATGCTTCCCTTACAGGCCTTACCTCGCACCCCCAGCCTCTGCCTGGCCTTACGTTTATGCGCCTTAAGGGCTGCAGGCCCCTGTAAGCCTAAGCCCAGAACCCCCCTATAGGGCTCCTATGTAACCCCTATTCGGTTACAACCTGGGTTCGAACCTAAGACCTTCAAGGGTAGGTAGTAAGTTTAACTGTAAGGGAGTGGCCCAGAGGGCTTTAGTGATAGCTAGCGCTGCTATTCCCTAGTGGGGTTACCGCTTGCTGATTACGTTATAAATAGCAAAAGGATATAAATTGACTTTATTAACAGCTCTAAGTTTAACTAGCTATATAAGGCTTATAGGGCTCCCTTATAGTTATAGGGATTAGGTATAGCCTGAGTCCATAATAGGTATTAGGTCTAAAAAGGATTATTTAGAAGCAGCTTATAGTGTTATAAGCCTGGGCTTTATATTTAGGGTTATCTTATTAAAATATAGGGTAGTAAAACACTTGATATTTTACATATAAGTTATTTATAGTAATTATAGCCTTGTAATAGCCTAGTATATTAATTATTAAATTTTATAAAAATTTAGTTAATACTGCGTCTTAAGCTTTATATATAATAACGCATAACTAATTATAAATTATAGTCTCTTATGGATAATAGTCCTAAATGACCGCTGTATAAGCATCATATTTTATGAGATAATATAATATACTTAATTTTCTAAAAGTCAAAGGCCTAGCTTAATTATGTTTCAGGTATAACTAAGTTAATATATTAGTTTAATACTACAATGCTTATATTAGGTCTCCTAGGCATAGCTATCTTCACAAAAAGCCTATAAATAAGAGGTATAGGGAAATAAAAATATTAAAAATTAAAAAAAATCATTTATGTAAGGTACTTAAATACCCTTATTAAAACACTCCTATTAGTACCTAGCCCACTGGGGCCAATTTAGCCAGGTACCTTATAAGTCTTTTTAGATTTTAACCCTATAGTTTAATTTTAGGACTAGACTATAATATTTTAGGATAGTTTATTGACAGCTAGGGAACGCACCTTTGAACTGGGCCATTAACACCTAAACACCTTTATAAGCCACCTAGCTTATCTAGCTACTATAAGGACCATAGCGTAAGAATAAGATTATAGTATTATTTAATTTAGCTGCCGCGGCCTTATTTTAACTAAAATAAAGCTACTATCTTAGCTAGGGTTATTTTTATTATAATAATATATTTTAATTTTTCTATTTAACTAAAAGAAATATTTCTTATTTTATATTACTAAGCTAGCTAAAGTCTAGCTTAATTATTTATTTTAGTTAATATTAATTACTAATTATAAACCTAATTAAGAATTTTTATTAAAAGCTTTTTTTTAAAATTTAAAAGTAAATTTTAAGAGTTTTTACTTAAAAATTTTATAATAATAACTTATTATCCTAGGGATTATTTAATCTTTTTATATTCTCTATAGTTTTTAAAAAAAAATTAACTTTAAAAAAAATTATAAAAAAAATATTATATTTTACTTAAGCTTAATTAATTAATTATAAAGGAAATTTTTTAATTTTAGTTTATTACTATTTTTATATTTTAATTATAATTTTTTATATTTTTATTACTTTTAATTAATTTTAGATTTTTCTTATTTTTAGTAAAATTACTTACTTTTTTTTTATTACTTTAATATTTTATAAATAGCTACTTATTTACTATAAATACTTTAGGTTACTAAGGATTTTTATAAGTTTATAATAACTTTATAAATATAATTTTAAATATTTTTATTTATTACTTTTATAAAAATAAGAAAGTAAAAGCTATTTAATATAAAAGTTTAAAAAACTTAGTAAAAGTATAATATTTTTATTTTTTTTATAAAGCTAATAATTATTTTATATTTAGCCTTTTTAAAGTACTTTAATAAAAAGTAATTTTTTAATTTAATATACTTATTTATAATTACCTAAGTTTTATAAATACTTTTTTTATTATTAATTATATTAAGCTATTTTACTTAATAATTATTATTTTAGTTTATTAATTATTTATAAATTTTATTAATATTATTATTTTCCTTATTTTATAATTTAAGGAATTTTAAAAATTTAATTATATATTTTAATTAATTAATTCCTAGTATTTAAGGTATTTCTTTAATACTATTATTAATTAGCTATATTATAAAAGCTTTCTTATACTTAATATAAATATTTAATATATAAAATTATTAATTATATTTTTAATTTCCTACTTAATAAGCTTATTAACTATTATTAATTATAAATATTATAAAAAAATAACTAGGTTTTTAATTAAATAAGGCTAATATAAATTTTAGTTTTTATTTTATAAGTAATTTAAATAAAGGAGAACTTTTTATAAGTAATCTTACTAATAGTAAACTTCTTAAAGATAGGTTTATAAATATTAAAACTTTACTTATATATCTTTAGGCTATATTATTTATAAGTAATATAATTTAGCTAAGTAAATAACTTAAAATTATATATATTCCTAAGGTAATTATAAGTATAAGTAGTAATTAAAATAAAATAGTTAAAAATAATTATTAAAAATAAAAAGGGGTATTTTATTAACTAAAAGTCTTAGTTATAGCTTTATTTTAAATAAGGGACTTAAGGTAAAAGTCTAATAGTTAATAAATTAATTAATTTTTACTTAATTAAAGTAAAAAAATATATATTTTAAAAAAATATAAGTTTATTTACTTTAAAAATCCTTTATAAAAATTTAATTATTAAGCTAAATATAAACTTTATACTTTTTTACTTTATTATTTTATTATAAATTCTTAAGTAATTTATAAAGGTTATTTAAGTTTTATAAATACTAATATTTTTAAAATTACTAAAACTCCTTATATTTTATAATATTAAGTTTATTTAAAGCTATAATTTTAAATATAAAAAGTATAAATAAAACTTTAGCTTTTACTAAAGTATAATTAAGTTAATATAAATATTAGTTTTTAATTTTAAAATTAAATATTTTTTATATTAGTTATTATTATTTTAAATATATTTATAAAATACTTATCTTATATAA